GCGGCGCCCCCCCCCCCCCCCCCCCCCCCCCCCCCCCCCCCCCGCCCCGCCCCTCGCGCCCCCGCGCCGCCCGGCCAACGGCAGCGCGCGCGCACGGAGGTGTGTCCCGCCCCCCCCCGCGCGCGGCCCCGCCCCCCGCCCCGCCCCGCTCCCCTCACGCTCGCCCGGGGTTTTTCCACTGCGGCCGCCTCGGCCCGCCGCCGGTGCGGGCAGCGCTGCCGGGCACCCGCGGGGCCGCCACCCCTTCACGGCCTCCCTCCGCACACCCCCGCAGGGAGAACAAGCGGCAGAGAGAGGAAGCGGCACCTCAGCCGGGCTTCCTGGCTGGCCACACTGAGCTCCGAGAGCTTCTGTGCAGGAGCGCTGCTCCGTGCCTTCCCTGAAGAAAAACCGTGACGCTCATCACCTGATGACCTTGATAAAGCATTGAAGAGCCACCTGTCCGGCACCTGCCTCGAATATTGATCTTGGAGCATCGTGGCCTGAGACGATTCTCAGGTCTCCTATTCGCTGTTCCTATTCGAGGCACATTTGAAGATGGTTAAGAAATTATTTTAAAACGAGTGAAAGTCCCCACCTTTCCCTGCTGTGACAAGGCAACAGGACTCCCACTGTCAAATGTGTAGTCTTTATGTACAAGCTTGAAAGAAAGGCTGACAGTTCATGAGATGACAGGGTACAAACATGGTTAAACAGGGACTTGCCAGTGACACAAAAAAAATCTTAGCATGCTTTTGCTTTTTCCTCTAAAGATCCCCAAGTTCTCCTCCTGTCTCTGTATCTCAGTAACTCCCCACGACTTGTTAATGTGAATTATCGCTACCAGTCCTCCAGGACCTCATTTCTTTTCTGTCCTGTTACTGACCTCACTGTTCACAGTGCTATTACCTCTTCGATGCCCTACTCTTATTTTTCTTTCCCCATTTCCCTGTCTCCACCTCTGAAGCTGTCATACCTGCTGTCATAATTCCCACCTATTTACTTCAGTCCTTCTCACCTGCCATTTCAAACCTTTCTTCCCTCTTTTAAAGGCCTGTTTTCAATTTATTGGGTTCTTTCCACTTTCACTTCAATGAATTTCTATCACCCTCTTTTGAACTTCAGTATTTTCTTCTCCATTTCTGCAGTTTGTTGTCTGCTGTTACTTTCTTCCCCTCCGGGCCAGCTCACCTTTCCTCTTCAGAGCTCCAGCCCATCCCTCCACCTGGTCTCTTGTGTCACAGTGAGATCCTGGATATACTGCACAAGACTTCCCACAGATGGCAGCCCTCAACCACTCCTCCAGGCAAAGCAAAGACCTCGGTAGTGATTCTCTGATGCCCCTTATTTTTTTATGTCACTTAAAACTCCTTTGCTGCCCCTGTGAGAACAAGTTAACAGATTTGTTTTATATATATATCTAGTATCCACCCAAGAGCTCTGAAGATACCATGAATGAAGTAAATTGCTAACAGAAAGATGGCACCTGCAATTAAAGCTAACACTCACTCAAAAACTGCCTGAGAACAAATATAAAGGCCAAAGGAATCAGGATGGCAGTTTGGAATTCACAGAGCTGCCACGTAAGTCACATGAAGTAATAACTGAAGTGCATTAAAGGGAACACAATACAATGACTCATTAAATCTCTGTATGCAAAACCAAGTCTCCAATTTATCATGTATTTTAGATGGCAAGGGTCCAGAAAACTCTGCTTTAATTTTTTGGGGGAAAAAATCAAAAGAGCTTGTAGCTAAGTGTGGTACAGACAAGAAAATCCATTTATGTAGTCATGGATGGTACAGACAAAGGGAGGAAAGAGAACCTTCTGGAGAAGAGAAGGTTGCATGGAGAATTCATAGAAACCTTCCAGTATCTGAAGGGGGCCTTCTGGCAAGCCAGAGAGAGACTTTTGTAGTGATAGGGCAAGGAATAATGGAAAGAGGGGAAATTTAGGTTAGCTATTAGAAATTTTTTTCCTTTGATGGTGGTGAGACACTGGACCAGGTTGCCCAGGGAGGTTATGGGTGCCCCAACCCTGGCAGTGTTTAAAGCAAGGTTGCATAAGGCCTTGAGCAGTCTGGTCTAGTTGAGGTGTCCCTTTCCAAGGCGGGTGGTGTACAAGTAGATGATCTTTAAGGTTCATTCCAACCCCTTAGCATTCTGTTATTCCATGAAAACCCCGTCTCTTCATCGCAGCAAGAGACACGCGCGGCACCACTAAACCCTGTGCCCTTTAAAACTCATCCTCTATAAACAGAGGAAGGAAGCAACGAATTACCAACATGTGCAAACCGCAGGAACTGCTGATGTCATCGGGATTAAAGAAAGGCGCCTGCCGAGGCACAACCAAGCGAGACAGCCCAGCGGCAGCACCACTCCACGGCCAGAGCGGGCGCCAGCACCGCCCGGCAGGCGGCCCGGAGAGAGCGAGCAGGGCCGGCAGAGCCTCCCCTCGGCTCAGGCTCCTCCCGCGGGAGGCCGGCCGGGCCGGGCCGGTCCCGCCTGCCCGGCATGGCGGAGGAGCGGCGGTTCCGCTCGGCCTCCGGGGCGCCGATCGCGCTGCGGCGCCGCCAGCACAGCGCGTCCTGCCGGGAGCTGGCTGTGCGCGGCCCCCGCCTGCAGCTGCGCTCGCTCAGCGCCGCCACCTCCGCCGTCTGGCTGGCGGCCTACGGGCTCTTCGCTCTCAGCGAGGTACCGGCCTCGCCGCCGCCCTCGGGCCCCTCCGCGCCTCGGGCCCGGCGCCGGCTGCGCCCCTCAGCCCGTGTCCCGCTGCCGCACCGGGGCGCCCGGGGGAGTCCCGCGGGCTGGGTGGCCGCTCGTGTTCCTGGAGCAGCCTCGGCTAGCGGCGCCCGAGGCACGGAGGGCGGCCGGAGCCCGCGGGAAGGCGCTGAGCGCCGCTCCGGGGCATCCCCCGCGCCCGGGGAACGCCGAGATCATGGTGTGTGGTGGCTAAGGGAGAGGCTGAAGGCCGCGGGCTGCCACCTGCTTGCCCCGGTGGCTCCTCGGGTGCCTCTGTTGGTTTGTAGCATCTTGACAGATAGGGTAGATGTTTGTCTGGGTGCTGAGTGATGCCTGGCACGTGCTTGTGAGTCCAAACAACACGTGCTTACTTTGAGACATGAGTTGTGAGAATCTAGAATTAAGGAGGAATTGAAGAAGGTGAATGTTAATCCCCAAGAGGAATTTTTCTGAGTGACTCAGAGAGCACTGCACTATGAATGCCATCACTTTTCACAGCTGAGGCAGAAAGATACTTGCAGTACAGATTGCAAAAGCTGCTGTTTTCTAAAGTAATGCTTTTGGATTTATCAAATTATGTCCAGTTATGTATACCAGTATGTATACCAGTTATGTCCAGACTGAAGTCAGTAGCTTGACCAAATGTGACCCATGCTTTGAGTTGCACATCAATTTTTTTCAGTAATCTTTCCTAGGAAATGAAGATAGAGATTGCATTATGAGTCAGTTTTCAGGAGTCTGATAGGAAAAGATGGTTCATGTTCGAGTTCAGTTTTTTACAAAAGCATACACTGCAGTCAGTGGTTACCACTGCCCTCCTGCTTGCCTTTACACGTGCTCTTGCAGCCTGCATGCAAGTGACTGCAATTCTTCCTTTTGCCAGGAAATCAGGTCTGAAAGTGTCTCTCTTTTTTTGTGGATTTCAGTGTCTGTACTTCATGACTGTCTTTTTTCCCCTGTGATAACAAACTTTTGGGGAAGTCCCGTGTATTTCCTGAAGCTTCATGGCATGGTGGTACAGACCCAGCTTGACAGTGGTAGGGCTGTGCAGTTCTGGTTCTTTAGGAAGTGTCAGTTATAACTCTCATTCATGGGTAGGTGTCCTGGAGTTCTCTAAAACATGTCCCAGAAACAGGTTGTAGGTTGTGGACCTTTAGAATGTATTACCAGGTCTTCAGATGACTTACTGGTGACTATAGTGTCATCAGCTTTATATTAAAATGTAACAGCAATATCAAAATGATGCAAAAAACATTGATCCTTATACAAAGTCCAGGATAAAGCAAATTTTCTTTGGATTGTATTTAAGGCAAGAAGAGGGTGAGCTTTGAACAAGTTTAGACTGACAGTTCACAATAAGAAAACCACTAGGTTTTCCTGAAGGAGGGTTCCTCTGCTCTGAGAATCCACTCTTGGTTCTTGTAAACATTCCACAACACTTCTTTGTCAGTGCCATCATCTTTATAGAAGTTGGTACAATACACTCTAACTGATATAATGGGCTTGTTTGGATTGAGATTTCTGTATTGAATGTGGGAGTAGAATTTTCTTGCAGTTTTCAGTTTCAGCTCCCAATTCTTTCAGTGCATACTGCGAAGACTGGTTTAAACCTTATTACATATATATCAGCAAGCCAGGTGAATAAAAGGACTCCACCTAAGTAAAAATGCTTTGCACCTGTAGCTTTAATATACAATTTACTGTGCAATTTTACTTTCTCTAAAGCTGTGTTAAAGTAATTGTAAGAGCAGAACTCTGCCTTTTCTTGGTTTGTGTTACAGAACAGCATGGTGCTCTCTGCAGCCATCTTCATCACGCTGATTGGCCTGATCATATACCTGCACTTTGTGAAGATTGACCAGGAATCCCTGCTGGTCATCGGCTCACTTGGCATTCAGGTGACTTCATCCTATGCCTCAGGGAAAGAGAGCACTACCTTCATTGAGATGGGTCAAGTGAAGGATGTGGTTATCAATGAAGCCATCCATATGGTAATCATACAAACTCTGTCTTCTTGTGTCTGGGCACACTCACATCCAGTGTATTTTCATGAGCATGATTTGTCAGAGCAATTAAACAGCACTATCCAGAGCTTTACTGACACCAGGAGCTTTATTTCCGATTTTTCTCCTTATTCTGTCATCTCTTGCCTTTAAAGGAGAACTCAAACCAAACAAATCGCCTCAAAAAGCCAAATCCCTCCCTTGGATAATGCCACTGGCATTGAGCTAGAGGGTTTAGTTCTTTGTGTTATGCTGTACTTACAAATCCTGGTGCACAACTTCTTACGTAGTCAAGATGGGGATGAGAAACTAAGACAACACAAACAATGTTTTTTCCTATTGCCAGGGTTTTCTGTAAAGTTCCTGTGGAAAAGCAGACCTTACCCTTCCAGCATATGTATATTCTTTTCAGGTTAAAAACTTAATAGAGAAAACAGGTAAAATTATTTCTTTATTGAGTGAAAGCTATTGATACAAATTTGTAGACTTGAGTGTGACCTGGCAGGATTTGCCTTCAGCCCAGTGAGTTGAAACAGATCCTATTTCTGTGCTAATTCCAGGCAATTTTGTAGCATTTTTATACTCCAGTGATTTTTACCTGTTTGTCTTGTAGCAAAAAGTTATCTACTACCTGTGTATCCTCCTCCAGGACCCTGAAGATCCTCAGGGAGTATCTGAGGTTGTGCCACTCTTTCAGGTGAGTTTGACTGAATGGTGGAGAAATCCAGTTTGTGGTCTCTGTGTGTGCTCCACTTGTCTAAGCATATTTTTATTCCACTACAGGTAGTTGATGGCAGTTTCCTTTCGCTGGCTGAGCGGTCAGGGTGGGTGGCATTTGAAGTCTCACAGAACCATATACTAGGGATGGGTTTTTTCATCTGCTCTCCATTCAAACAACAGGGAGTTGTGTCAATCTGAACCCAGCCAGGAGTTTGCATGAACTAGAAGTCTTTGGCTCACATAGGGTGCTGAGGACTTGTAGAGCTTTCTGTGCAGTCCTGTGCTCAGGGTTACCACCATAACTCTGGTACTGTGCTGCAGTAGATTTTTCTCTCGGCTCTGTGTACCAAAAGTTCTCATAAAAGCTCCTTGGCATTGGGATGACTTCCCCTGCCTGACCTGCTGGCAATGATCACGGTACAAGCCATGACCAATTTGCTTAATGTATAATAACTTGTTTGTGTTGCCGTTACCTCGTCTCCCCTCATTCTTCCCTTGCTAACATGTTCTGACTGTTCATAATCTCATTTTTGGAATGGATTTGCTTTGTGTGTGTTCATGCCTAACACAACCTGCCCTTATCCTCAGGGGTTGTTAAGCAGAACAGAGGCACCTCACTTCTTAGACTGCTGAGCTGTACAGTCCTCTCTGTCCTTAATTCACCTGCTGCTGGTGATTGTTTTGTAATCTGCGTACAGTTTGTGACTGGATATGGTCAGTCTTCAGCTAAATACTTAGGAGTACAAATAGTCTATTCCATTGATACTTGCTGCTAACTCAGTCCCACAATTGTAAAGATGTTTAGTAACTAATAAAAATCAGGTATTTCTCATATAGACAAGGGAAAAAGTAGAGTTGCTGGAAATCCACAAGTACTAAATTCCAAATAGCTGCATTGAAGTACCTGATTTTAGTTATGCTCCTTTCCATGTTCAAAGGGTCTGCCTGGCATCTGGTTTTGGGTTGGTTGTTTTTTTTTCACCTTTCAACTCTGAACAGTTTTGTTTTCATGGAAATACTTTAGTACTGGTAGAGTTGACTCCAGCAGCAAAGGCGGCACGGAACTCTTCCATTTTGAAATTCAGTACCTGTCTGTAATTATTTTAACATGTAAGTTAGTATGTTAGTTTTGAAGGAGCAGTGATTAGTAACTTTATTGTGTCTCCTTCATTGGGTTTCTCTAAGATATATCAGCCTTCAAAAATACAATTTCTCATGTGACTCAGCCCAGGAGCCCTACTGCACTGAATCGACCTTTTGTTCCCTTAAGCAACTCTTGCAAGGAAGCATTTGATGGACTTTACACAGTAATGCTGTTTTGGGAGCTCAAAAGTTATAGGATCATAGGGATTGTGGGACCGTGAAACCTTCACTTCCTTGCTGGTTTTAATCTGGTCCAGGTTAGAATTGATGAAAAATCATTGTACTTTGACCACTGTTTGCTGTTTGGGTAAAATGAATTGGTGTTTCGGTTCAGAGCCTGATTCTCTGTTGCTTGACTTCTAGAGCTCCCAGCCACGACTGGACTGCTTGATAGAAGTGTACAAAAGTTGTCAAGAGATCCTGGAGCAGAGGAAGACAGCTCCACAATCAAGTGAAATAAAATAGCTGAAAAAAGCAGCAGATTTTCAGCAGGACTCAGAGGGAGACATGGAAAAGCAAACAAAACTGCCCCATGAGCAGAACTTTTCAGGCTCAGCCAGAAGGCTCTTGCCTCTTGCCTTTCCAGAAAAGAATTATGGGGAAATAGGGAAAAGGGAGATAAAAAAATGCATCAATTTTTTACTCTTTCTTGCACCTAAAAATTATGCTAAAATTAAAAAATAACCTTGGCTGGACTGCCATAAGTATGCATTCTTTGTTTTTTATTTAACCCTTTGTTTGAAGAACACTCTAAATACCTAGATACCATCTAAAGCTGATGTGTGGGCTCAGAGAGTACCTTCCTGATCACAGAAGAATTTCATAAGGACAAAACCAGAAAATTTAACTCTTGCATTCAGTTATGTTTAATGAAATAAACATAAGAGATCTGAAGACTGACCTCTTCAGGGAGCTGCTTGAAAGAGTCCCATGGGATGGGGCCCTAGAGGGAAGAAGGATCTGAGAAAGCTGATAGTCAAGGATCATTTCTTCTGAAATCAAGAACAGTCCATCCCAATGAGCAGGAAGTCAAGCAGAAATGCCAGGAAGCCTGCATGGATGAGCAAGCTGCTCCTAGCAACACTTGAACACAAAATGGAAGTAGACAGAAGGTGGAATTAGGGACAGGTAATTTGGGAGGAATGTAGCAACACTGTTCGAGATGAAGCTAGAGAAGCTAAAGCCCAGCTGCAGATGAATCAGTTAAAGGATGTCAAAGGCAACAAGAATGGTTTCAGTAAGTGCTTAACTATCAAAAGGAACACAGGAAAAATGTGAACCCACTGCTGAATGGGGCAGGGCTTGTTGACACAGGACATGGAAAAGTTGTGGCATTTAAAGGGCCACATCTGTTACTCTGAGAATATGAGGCACATGTATTGTTGAAAATGATGGTAATGTGAATAAAAGTTTTATTGGTCTGTGCTCTTAATAGTAACTTAAGGTTGGGAAATTCTATGTTGATAAGCTGAAAGTTATTTTAACATTTAATGGGTATATTTCTCCCTATATTCCACAACTGTATAGTGAATATATATATATACACACTATATATATAGTAATATAAATGAGGTGACTGAAGTGTCAAAACAAGAGCTAAACCACAAGTTGGCAGAAGCCTGGATTCATGCTTATTTTGCATACGGTGTTGTACCATGCTTGTCCACATTATCTGTAAAGGAACACTTGGCACCATACCATCATGCAATAGAGATAAGGGGATTTGTGGGTTTTTTCCCACGGTGCCATAAAGTTTGAAAGACAGAGATTAGCTCATGTCACAGGAAGTATTCTGGTTGTCCAAGTGAAAGGCAGCAGCTTGGGGATGTGCCACTGGCTTTTGTGTCAAAAGAAAAGATGTCTCAAGAGAGTGCACAGAGTCACGGGCTCAAGAGCGTGCTGTGAACGCTGACTATGCTGTAAAAATCCCATTAAGTCCTCAGAATGTGCACTGATGAAATTACCAAGAAGCTGTGTCTTGCAGCAGGAAGTCTGAAAGATTGTTTTAGCAATCTTATGAAGGAGATCATTTGAACGTTCTGTGCCCATGGTGAAGTCATCCACTTTAGCTGAGAGATCAGCAGAGAGAAACAGGGGATCGGTCTAGGGCAGGTTTGTACCAGCTATGGTTTGTGCCTGGATACCAAACACAATCGATGTTGATTTTTGTTTACATCAAGAATATTTTGGCTTTTTAAATAGTTTCTTTCATTCTGAGAATAATACACATTAAATTCATGGTTATTAATTCACAAGCTGTATTTTATTAAGAACAAACAGAAATCTCACAGTATCTTCCAGACAGCCTTTTACTTACACACAGCAGTTAGGAACATAAAGGCTTTTGTCATCTCATTCTATGCTGCATTAACAGTCATTGCCAAAAATATTGATTAAAATAAAAAAAAATTATTTTCTCTACCAAAGAATCATACAAAGTAGGTATCTACACAGGGTGGGTATTTGAAGACAGGTAAGTTATAAATAGGAGTGGCATGTGCATCCATCAGAGTGGGGTGGTCCCTGAAACACTCAAGTATTGGTGAATATTTTAAAGATAAAGTTTTGTGTACCATGCTTCTCAATTTAAAGTGCAATTGTGACAGAAAATAATGAGATTCAGGACAACTCCTGTTTACTTAACATCTCTGTTTCCTGTTGGCCCTGGTACAAGTCTCCTCAAGTCTCTGGGGACATGAGTGTTAGCACTGTGAGGAAATACAGCCTGTGAACTGGAGGCTTCTATGCCTTGAGCATCCCCAGCACTGATGACAGCTCCAGCCTATTCTGAAGCATTTTGTTACTGGCGGGATACCAGAAGCAAACTGTCAAACAGACCTTCAGATACAGGAGAAATTGTTAGGCACAGGTGATAGAGTGAGGAGGAATATTCCGGTGTTCAAACTGGCATAACTGTACTAAGATAATTGTGAGAGAGAGGGAAAATAAAAACTAGTATCAGGATAGATAAGAGACTGGAAAGTATCTGAGGGAAAACAAAAATTACTAAATACCTTCTTAAAGTTATTTTTGGCTCAGGAAGCTTCTACCCTTCTCTGTATCTTCAAGGGATGGTCTTTAAATTCTTACAAGTGGGTATATTACAGTATGTGCAAATCAGGTCCCTATTCATACAATCTTTTCCTATCTTAGGCCTGCTATACTGTTTCTATAACTCACCATGGGATGGTTTGGGGTTGAGTTTGTTTTGTTTGGTTGTTTGGGGTTTTCTGTTTTATATTATAAAGATGCTGATGAGGGATTGCTTAGAACAATTTTTGTCTGCCCCCTTCTCTTTTAGTCTGTGGCTTTGCACCTACCATAAGCATGAAAAAAACTCTTGATGTTATCAGCTCCCCATGTGCATTAGTTGGATGTCTCATGGTTGGTGGCAGGTAGTAGGGAGTAAAAAAACTCCCTGGTATGGTTGGTTTGTTTATTTGCAAATAACTGGTTTGCTATTACTGACTTCTGTCTAGTGGTTGGATTCACTCTGTTTTAATTTGGGAAGGGTGCCCATGAATGCATAATTATTATGAAGTTGGACGTAGTACTTTTCAAAGTGCAGTTATTCTTCCTTGGCTTTTTTATAATGCTTATCAAAATAGCTGAACTTAAACTAAGTAGTTTTTGATATTTTATGAAGAATTGCTATTTTTCTTTTATTTGTTTAAAATTCAATAGCCTTCTCATAATGAAGTACCTTTGAAACAGATAAAAAAAAATCAAACCTACCAACATTCTTTAGGAAAGTCAGAAGAACATGAGTACACATTGCTGACTACCTCCTCCTTGCTTATGGTACATGAAGGAAGCAGGAGTCTGAAAGAAGCAGCTTCTGTCAAGTCAGAATGGCAGAGCTTGTCTGGGAAGATCTGTTCTAGTTGCTGAAAGACAGAAAAAGTACAAAATTTGTTTGCCTTGTCTTCCTTTGTCTGAGATAATGTGCAGTTCCAAACACATCTACAACAGTGGTTATCAGAAAGTCTTCGAAAGTGCTTGTCTGGCAGTGGAGCACGTGGCACACTGAGCCCTGCCCTGCAGCAGCAGTCTAATGTTCACCTGGTGCATAGAACAGCATCAGTTTCCAAAATGCATGGGTCCTGTAGGTGCCAGGGCATCCTCTGACACTGTTCCAGTCCCAGTTGTTCTGAGCACTCAACATGCAAAGACCCTAAGCTTCCACCTTTATTTAAAGTTGAAAATACTCTTAATTACTGCTGAACTCAAATTCTATACTCCCTATTTCAGGTCTGAAATCACCCTTGACTTGCATCAAAATTATTTTTGTGAGTTTAATTCCTCTTCCTTCTCAGCAATGTCTTTCATGTCTCAGCAAGGACACAAAAGTTTCTGTCTTTTGAAAGCTGAAAATGGGAGGGATCCAAAAAAGTGTACTTGTGAAGCAAGGCAGTACAGTAGGAGATAGAAGAATGAGTGCAGATATAATGAGTGGAGCACTGTGCAGGCAAATGACCTGAGGAATGGTATTTTGGATGGAATGTGTCATGGAAAGGAAAACTCCTGCACAGTCCCCCAAATAAATGTTGGTTTTTTTTTTTTGTTTTAAGAGAAAGTACACTACCTCTAAGGAACTTCGTCTATTATTATGGAAAAAGCATCAGAGCCTGCATTAATCTGTGGTATAAATCCAACAAAATCAGCTGATACGGAACAAGCCCTTAGAGCAGGGTGGGCCCCTTTGTGCTTCGGGGCACAGAAGGAAAAAAGCACCGGTTTTCAGTCTCCCAGGGCTTCTTAGCAGGTGTTTTGCTTCGTGAGGGCTGTGTGGAAGACAGCAGTGAAGGAGTTGAATGATAGTTAATGTAGCTGGCAATCAGAAGTGTTGCTTCAACAATCTGGGGAAAAGAGAAAATTATTAACTGAAGGTCAATTAGAGATAAGAATGCCCTTTAATTTTTAGAATCTACTGACCACATAGTTTTTGTAAATGGCTTTCTCCCATGGAATTGTTCTGTTTTAAAATGAAGCTCTAAGAGTCAGGTAGAATAAATCTCTCGCTAAAAGGTTCCAGCTCACAAAGGATTTGTTGAACATATATAGCTAGTGCAGCGGTCACAAGTACCAGTCCCCAGGGCTTGTACAAAACAGCCAGCCCTGATGCTGCCAGCTGGAAAGAAACTCACTTTTTATTTGTAATTACCTTTGGAATTGCCATTGTGAAGAGGAGTTTTTCAGTGCTATTTTTTCCAGAACTTCTTTCTTTAGTTTGACTGACTACAATCATGAAGTCATCTCGACAGCCTCCAAAGGTCAGCACAGAGGAGTATGAATAAGACACCTTCAAATGCTGCAGACAGAGTTTGAAAAAGTCATAATTCCGTAAAAAACTCCAAATGTCTACCTTAAACTAACATATTAGATTATTACTACTTCCTACAAGAACACCAGGTCTCCAGCAGTGAAGGGCAGCAGATGGCTCTATAGGTAAGAGCTGGCACAGAAAGCTCAAGTGAGATCGTGTTTGTAGTTTTCTCCTGGTGTGCTCAATGCCTCACTACTTCAGAGTACAGATTTTGTTATATTCCAGATGGTGGTAGTAAAGCACACACCACTGAGATTTTGCAAGATGTATAAACATGCTTGCTGCCCTACCTTACACTGCAGCTGTAATTTTCCTTTGTCTATGGAGTGTTCAAACATAACACTAACTTCCCTCTGACTTTTACAAACTATTGGATCCATTTGAAGTTAAAGACAAACTGTTAGTGACTTTCACTGGACTCAGGGGAATGTCTTTCTATGCTTCCTCAACATACCATTGTGTTATAATCCAGTATGCTGATACCATCTTCATTCACAGCTATCCAGACTGGACAGTCTTCCAATGAGGAAGGCAAAATAGGCTGGAGAGAAAGAAAATCATTAATTCAGGTATTTCTTGACCACCACAGAATGATTTCTGATATAAACACTGAGACTTAAGGATAAAGTGAAGATGAGAAAAAATCCTAAAGGTTTACTGGTGTGAGCTGGTTTGATTTTTAAGATAGCTTTCCCCAAAATCTGGAATAACATTTTCAGATTTACATACACATTTCAGAGTAGTGGCACAAGAGATACAAGGATAACAAAGTCTTTGAAATTAATTAGATGCCATCCATGTGGTTAAAACTGAAGGAAATGCTAGGACAGAGCAACAGCATGGCAACTCTGCTGAGCACATGTGTTTATACTGCTCCTATCAGGAAGGCAGTGAAACCTGCTGGTTTATATGCCAGGGCACCCAGTACCGTCACATCAATGCCATTTTGTTTCTTACAGAATCTTACGACAAATGTGCATCAGTTGTCTGTTGAAGATGACTTGTTATGGCTAATGACATAAAATCTTTCCTGGGAATCTGCAATTACACAGCTAATGCCATAGGCTTTGCTGTTCAACTGCTGAAAAGTTATAAAATATGTTAATCATCAGGAATACCAACATTATTTCACCTGTGGGTGAACCTATTCTTTATTCTGATTCTTCAGTACACTCAATTACATATTCTGTCAGTAACCTCAAATACCAGTAACCTCTTCTGACAGTAACCTCTTTTAGTCCTGACAGTGGAAATAACTGTCTTTTGAAAACTTCTTGTATATTTACTCAAGAGGTCCTTTTCACCATTAGACTTTTTTTCTGTAACCAGAGCAGCTTTGACTTCAACACAAGAGACATGTAACCATGAAGAAGACCTCCCTCAAGCCTTCAACAGCAGAAACTTCTGCCGGGATGGGGAAGATGGTTAATGCCAAAACAGGATTTCTCAGCCAGCCATTATGTGCTACATTAGTTCAGGCATAAGCAACAGGTACAGAGCTCTAGCCTGCAATGGGGTGAGGAATGGTACACGCTACTGGGGGAACCACTCCCTCCAGCTGTTCTTTGCTCTCCCACAGATGCCTGTGGGCTGGTAGCTTACCCAAGGTGTAATTTCATTTTTGTTTCTGCAACAGGACATTAGCAGTGCTTGCCTCTCTCATGTGGCAAGGAATACATCCAGCAGAGAACAGGACTGAAGTGCCCATTCTCCTTTGGGGAGGAGAATGAGTCCTCATCAGCTGCCAGGTGTGACTAAGCGGGGGGACTCTTCCCTTCCTCCCCCACTGTGGTACGTAAATGTTATTTTTTTAAACTACCACTGCAGCCTTGATGTCCAGGAAAATTCCTGCCTGAGAAAGCTTCAGCAAGGCTTGTAAGGACGGACAGTACTCTGTACCATGATGAATTGACACAGCCAGGGAATCGTCAGTATTTATTTACTGAACACTAGCAACCCCTAGTGGTTAGGATATACTTGTCTTCCTTCTTTTTCAACCTACATGGTACCAGGGCTGCTCTTTCAGAGCAGAGTTCTTCAATTTACTCCCTTTCTGAAGTAGAAGCATTTTCAACCCATGTTATCCAAAGAGGTTTTTTAACCAAAGATTACCGTAGATATGTCTCTGCTCAGATAACTCACTCTTGAAAACAGACAAAAGTGAGCTCCAGTTACCTTAGCAGCAAATATTTTGGTTCCAAAGAGAGGCCATTTCCTGGCCACTGTCAAATAAATTCGAATGCATTCTGGTGGAGAGCATCCCTGCAGCACCATCCACTTTGTCGCCAGCCTGTCTGTCAGTTGCCTTTAGGAATCCAAAACACAAGACAGTATTATTTACTAATGTCTTCCAAGGAAAGATGTGTAAAATTAGAACAGTTAATAAATGTACCTCTTTACTCCTAAAGGGCTGTTCTACACAGCACTTACAGAGGGGGCTGTTAGCACTATCAGTTCTACAGTCTGAATTTATTTTAGCTTTTCTCTACTTCCACATACTTTATCACCTTCCTCATACCTTGCCTGTAGTATGCTCTACATGGAGTGGCAATATGCATTAACTCACTCTTGATCTGACTCACTAGTTTGGCAGCTACCATGCTACATGCAGATGGAGTTTGCTTCCAAAGGGAGGTAGCTAACTGTGTTAGTTCCACCACTGCATGCCTAAGTAGCTTAGGATCCATAGGAAGACCAATCTCTCACTTGAAATCAGATAGATCTGAAATCTGTGGCAACACCTGAATTTTGTACACACAGAGCTCTCTGCACTGTTATTTCTAAGTCAGAGCAACAAAAAAAACCCTGCCAAAACATATCCTACCAGAATTACTGCATGGCCTGAAGCAACCCACACAAGCTGGCTTTCGGGCTCATGGTAAAATGTTAGGCATCTGATTCAACTGACCCTTGGGGAAAACGTAAAACAAAAACTCAGAGAATTCATTTTAGGCTTGGGGTAGTTTGTTGAAACTGAGATGCCTAATTTGGAAGTGAAAGACCTAAACTTCTTGTCTACGGCAGAATTAGCTGGTGATTTGGCTCTTTTTATATTGTTTTTCCTTTTAAAGGAATTTTTTCCTGACACTTCTGTTTTGTTTGAGTTTATACATCAAATAATCTTGACAGGGCTTCTTGAAACTCCTTAAATGTAAAGACAATTTGGCAAGTAAAAGCTGGTCTCAGTGTGAAGTACTGAAGAACCAAAAGCTTACCTGAGCTGTTCAGGACTAATGTTTTGCTTGTAGTGTTTGGGGTAGAATTTATCTAAAACTTGGTGGAGAAGATGCTGCATTTTCAATTGTGATGTTCCCCCAGGACCTGAAGATCCTGGTCGATCCAAATCCCCATATTCCACCTAAGACAACATTATAGCTTATAGTGCAACAGAACTATGAGGTTTTTAATGTTGTAGAACATTCCATGAATACCCATACTGATAACTACTGTGTTTATTAGTCATGCAAAAAGACACAGGCTGGGGAATGTTGTCTACAGCATTAACCATAGTAAATGTATACAAAAGAGCAACCACTGAGAACACGACTGCTCAAGGAATTATCTACTGGTCTAAGAGAGTGGAACATAATCTCAGCCAGGTATTTGCTGTGAGGAGACACATTCATATAAACTGCCAGGCTTTGGGGATTTATTTTCAACTTGCCAATTAAAACAACAGCATAATTGTAAATAGTTTGGACCGTGTCCCCAGCTTCTTCACCTCAGTTTATGCTGTTTTAACAAATACAACACTCAGTTTCAGGTCAGTAAAAAAACTATTACACTGCTTATCATCCCCACAACCCACAATGTGTGTTTTATGTGGTAAAATACTAAATGCAAGCCTGGAGATCTAATGGGGGATGTTAGAAAATGCTCTTCCTGAGTAAGAGGATATTGGCAGTGCAAGAGGGGAAGTTTTTACTATTAATGGAATTCTAGCGGTGGTACTATTTCCATATCTCTACCAAAGTACTAACTGGAGCAGGTCTGGTGACAGTCCAGCCTCACTCTGTTTTTTCCAATATTTTTCTTGATAAGGAGAGGCACAGCTAGAGCAACTTTCCCTGCAGCAAAAGGGTTCTAACACATGTATGCTGCTGTAATGTATTTGCCATGGTACATCTGACAGTGTGTTTGTTTGATACACCACACTGTACGTTTGATGCACTTTTGAGGTAAAAAGCTGCTGCTTAGTCAAACATAGTGTACCGCTGAAGGAGGACAACAGAAAGGATTTCTGCCATACTCACCTGAGCCATTAGAGCCACCATTTCCAGAGCTAGCTCCTTATTAACAGGAAACCTTCCATTGGCTATTTCATTGCTCACTTGGAAGGCCAGTAGCAACCGCTCACGGTCTGTCTCACCTTTGGCCTGGCTCCGAAAATACAGTCTAAAAAGTAGAGAGGATTGTGAAGGTAAAAAAATACTGTGAACTGAAAGTACAGCTGGGAACTTGAATCAAGATGAGGCAAAATAAAACTGTGTTTTGTTTTGGGTTTGTTTTTTTTTTCATTGAGGGGGTACTGGACAGATTTGAGAGCTGAGGTGCTTCCCTTCTGAACAAGATTTGAGCAAGGAGGCTCAAAACATGTATTCTAGCTTTGGAAGCTACTTGAATTCTGTAAGCTAACCACTTCTGTACAGTGAACCCTTATTAAACACAGCTAAATCAGTGTCCATTCATCCCCATCAAGCACAAAAAGGCAATATTTAAATTATGGTCTTCTCTGCTTAGAAAGAAAACACAACTACCTCTGCTCTACATGTATAAGATTCTGTGAGGCAGCCTTGTAGATTTGCCAGTGGATTTGACCACTTACACTGAAGACTTATTAAAAAATGCTTCCATTTGCTTCAGCAGGAAATAAGAGACCCAATGAGCATATTTCCTTTGTTTAAGGAAATGTGCTTGTAAATCAAAGCATCCTATTGTTTTTTGGGGTTGAAGACACCAGTTTGGGGAATGCTTCCCAGAACCATTCCTCATACTTACAGTCCACAGCAACTAATTCACATATTAATTTCAAGCTACATCTATGGCTATAAATCCCACAATTTCACTACATGAGATATTCATTCCAGTGGATCAATTTATTTATTTTTATGTCACTTTGAGATTAACTACACTATTAGGACCATATTGACCTTACAAATGTCTTATCAGAGTCCTTCATGTTAGAACAGTCCAGCCTTGGAAAGACCTTATCAAAACATCCTTGCTGTCTAGCCTATGCACATTCCAGCCCAACAAAATAATACTGCAAAGTTTCACTCCTGAAATAAATACAGCCTTCTGGGCCAAAAGCACTAACTTCTACTTTCACTTCTACTATACCAACGAACAAAATTGACAGGAATTTGTTTCCACCATTACAGTCAACAAAATCTTCATATGTTCAATACTGAGCTCTCTGTTCAGTTTTGGGGCAGCCTTTGTTTCACCTACAAAGAAAATTCATTCCTTGTTCACATACAGCTCTTGATTTACTGTAACTCAGAATTCCTATCTGTATTATAAGCGATTAACTCATTCCAGTTTTTGATTTAGATCTTTATCTTGTACCTCCCTTCTCTACCATCTTTCATCATCTAACTTTTAACATTTCTTTCTTTGTAAAGTTTGGGCACGGCTACTACATATCTCTTCTACAGTTCATATGATTTAGAACACTGTTCTTGTATCTTTTTCATCTTTGTGATTGTTCACTTAATTGCAAGTTTCGGCATACTTGTTTTCACTAGTGATTTTTCCTCTAGGTCTCTCTTCCTCTCACCTAACATTCTTCAATTATGTTTTAGGATCTAGGCAAAATAAATTGTGCCAGGGATGCCTTATTGTGTTACAGCTAGTTGTTAGCTCATTTTAAGTCTATTCTGCAATTGCAAAGTGGTTTGGGCTTTACCCCTAGGCCATATACTTTTGTATATTCAACAGACAAAACCCATCACATCTCCTGTAGGGTTTAACTGCATCTTAGCTAAAATAGTTTTGGCACCAATGATACTACAAATTACTGGTCATCTACACAGATATATGCAGTCTAGAATGTTCAATTAACAGCAGTAATAATGCCACCCAACAGAGGACAGTACCTGTTCTTATAGGTCAACTTTACAATTCTTGTGCCACCTTCATATTTCCCAGGATGCAACTCTTTTAAGGCTTGTTCCCATTTAGAAATGACATCACAGATCTTAAAAAAAATATCAAGGAGAGAGGAGACAAAAACTGAGGTGAAATATATAGCCAAGGCTTGAGAGGAAAGTAAGTGAATAAAATATTGTAAAACACACAAGAAATAGCCTGGATCAACATGAACACAGCTCAAAGTGACACGACACATTCTTTTTCTATTGCACAGTATGCAATAATTAAAGCATTCCAACTGAAAACTCTAACCTGCAGGGGGACACATGAATTCTGGTCTGGTAGTAACTCTCATGGCTATATCTACCTTAGCAAATAGCAAAGCTCAGGAGTAACAGATCTGCACAGAGAAACACCCATTCCTAAGTCTCCATGCCCATGCTAGTAGTCTGACTGAGTGACCTAAAAGCCCACTACTATGTTGGATTACATCTTCCAGTTCATGTTTCATGTAAAAAGAATCAATTTCACGCTCTCAGGCTACTCCTTAATGGGAGACAAAGCATGGTTAATAGGAATGATTGGTAGGTTTACATCAAAAGTGCCCTCCTGAGCCAAAGTAAAGCACTAATGTGTCCTCTGAACAGCAGCAGAATGTGCATGGCTACACCAAACCCTTGGATGTGAATGTCCAAATTTTGGGAATGTTTGGTCCTAGATTCCAGCTTTGCGACTCAGACATATTTTTAGTAATAACATGGTATTTTGTTGGGTTTTTTTTTGTTGTTGTTCCATTCAGCTCCTCCTGGTTATTCTAGTCCTTTTACAAGTGGTCTAATGAAAGCCCCTACTTCTCTTTTGATGGCATCCTAGTGAAAGGAATGTGAGCATAAGCAACCACATAAAATACATAATCAGATCTCCAAACCTCTCTTCAGCTACCAAGATTTACAGATTATTTTTTACTTGCCAAGGCAAAGTGATGTCTTTGATTGTCTCAAGCTCCTTTGTTTGCTCTGATACCTCATCTCTCCAGATGGTCCAATTACCAGCAAAGCTCCAGATTACCTGATCTGTATCAGGCCATGAAAACAAACTATATAATTTGGCACTCTCTGTGGTAGTTTCCTTTTAAACCATCTATTTCAAAGTTATTGGTATCCTCTCCTTCTGTTGCTTAATGTGAAATGTTACACTGTGTAAAATTGATTAAGTTCCCTACAGGTATGAGGATCTCTTCAAAGTTGCCACTATACCTATTCCTCCATTAATGCTGTTCTCAAAGCATTGAAAGCATCTTCAAATTATTCTCACAGATTTGTACCAAAATCTGATGGATCTCATTCATGGCAGCCACCCTGCTCAATTAAGGCTGCTCAATTCAGCTGCAGCACGGGTAAAAATCTCCAGATGGAAGTCACAGGTGCTAACACTTCATCTCTTTCTTTCCCCCTTGATCTGAGTCACTACACTCTTTTTGAAAGTGAAGCCATACTCAGCAGAGCTTTCTCCCCTAAGTATGCTCATGAACAATTAAAGATTGAGTTATCTGGAGCTAGCACAGAGATACTTCATAATCCAACAGACAGAATTCATAGACATGCCAGAAGACTCACAGCCTAACACAAATTTGTCTCAATTAGGAGGGTCACGTTTGAAGTCAGTTGTGATATCTGATCATGCTGGCTAGCTCAGCCATGTTTCAATTTTGTAGTCAAGACAAATTCAGCTTTAATATGTGCTAAAATCTGAGTTGGACTTTTTAAAATTTGACCAATTTATCACCTACTAAAATAGATCTTTCTATTAAGAACTGTATCAGATTAGGCTAGCTAATTATAGAATCACAGAATCATTTAGTTTGAAAAAGACCTTTAAGGTCAGGAAGCCCAATCATCAAACCAGCACTGCCAAGTCTACCACTAAACCATGTCCCCAAGTGACACATCTACAGATCTTTTAAATACCTCCAGAGGCAGTGACTCCACCACTTCCCAAGGCAGCCTGTTCCAATGCTTGAGAAACTCTTTCAGTGAAGTAGTTTTGTAATAGGCAATCTAAACCTCCACTGAAGCATCTCTGGGCTGCTTCCTCTTGTTCTGTCATTTGTTACCTGGGAGAAGAAACCAACTCCCACCTGGCTACAGCCTCCTTTCAGGCTGTTGTAGAGAGCAGTAAGGTCCCCCTGAGCCTCCTTTTCTCCAGGCTAAAGAACCTCAGCTCCTTCAGCTGCTCCTCATCAGACTTACCCTTCCAGACCCTTTTCCAGATTTGTTGCCCTTCTCTGGACCCACTCCAGCACCTCAATGTCTTTCTTATTGTGAGGGGCACAAAACCAGTGCTGAGTACAGGGAGACAATCACTTCCCTGGTCCTGCTGACCACACTATTTCTGATACAGGCCAGAAATTCCATTGGCCTTCTTGGCCACCTGGGCACACTACTGGATCATGTTCAGATGGCTGTTGACCAAGACCCTCAGATCCTTTTCCTCTGAGCAGCTTTCCAACCACTCTTTCCCCAGCCTGTAGGGATGCATGGGGTTGTTGTGACCCAGTGCAGGAATTAATATCTCATCTGTGAGTATTAACCTAGATAGACAATATCCAAGCTTATTTGATCTTCATTCATTAAGAAAGATTTATTAACCATTTAACAGTCCTTCAAAGATGCATACTAAAGGTAGAAGAGGAGAAAAATAAATACCTTCATATTGCCGGGCAAACAGTGTTCCAAATTCCTGCCAGAAGGATCATCTGTGAACAAAGAAAATCCCATATGGGATGGCTTCCTCATTCCTGTTTCCTGGTTCAGTCTCTGGATGAATTCATCAACTGATGAGGAACCATCAAAACCTACAACCTGCAATGAAAGAAGACTTAACTGAGGATACAAGAACTGTGACCATTGATGGGTATCACAAATAATGAAGGTGGTTTCCTATGGATTAGCAGCTCCAGAGACAACACTTGTGTATTGTCTCCTTTCATATCACATATATATTTGTATCTTTCCCATATTGAGACACTTCCAACTTCTCTCCCTTTTTCTTAGCTACCTTTTCTTCCCAAGATCTGTAGAGCTGGGGATGAAATCCTTTCACTTTCCTGGAAAATCAGCTAGTACAGCAAAAAGGAGAAGCAGTGTTTATCTCCCAATTCCTGACGTGTATAAATACCATGGTACCACACATCCACATGAAGCAGGCAGGCTATGGTGCAGTCCTCTAGTGCCCAGAAGAAAGGCAGCTGTGGTGGCTCACCTGGTACGTTCCATTCATGAAGTGCACTGGGATGCTGAAGGGGAGTGAGTGGTGGTAGGGATTTCTCAGCAGGATTGACACAATCTCCATCCGGGAGGGCTTGGCTTCCCGCTCTCCAGCCTGCACGGTGCGGTCTACTGATCTCTGGCAGTAGATGGCATACTTGCCTATCTCACTCCTAGGCAAAGATGAGGAGAGAACCACAAATATGCTCCAAGTGCCATATCCTCTTCAATTTCCCATGCCGTGACAACACATTCCTCCCTCAGGCTTTTGCTCAAGGAAAGATATGTCTCTACGCAGATACACTGTTCATCTCAACAGACTAACAGCCCAAGTGAAAAGCTACCACACAAACCTGAGCTCCAAGGACCTGTAAAACTAAGGCAGACAATGGACTCTCTAGGAAACACAAGAGTATTCCCTGCCTGCCTCTATGTAGAATGGACACATTTCCTCTTCTGTGCCCTGTTGCTGTCATAGTATCTGTCAAGTCAAGGTCAATTCACCCTCAAACTTGCTGTCATGCCAGTGGAATTCAGTTACTACCATGTCAAGGCCTGGTAAATATGGAGTTGTATAATCCTGTGAGACTAATGCACTACAAGCTCTGTTTATTAATTTACATGGTTGTACAAATTGTAAGTTTCCATTTAACCCTATATGCCAACCAAGAGACTTGACAGAGATTCCAAGCAAGCTTAGATTTGTTGACAGTTCAATATAGGATAGGGATGGTTTCCGAGAGGATCAGTTTACTGTCTACTGAAGAGAGTGCTCCACTGAGTAGCATCAAAAAGATGTGTTTCTAAAGTCAAGCAGGAACGGTCAACTGCACCTTTCACAAAAATGTTAACAATGTATATACTCCATAAGTTCTGAAATGGAAGGATTTATATGGATTTGTAACTGTGCTATATCTTTGCATGAGAAAATAATTCCATTCAAGATGCCTTCAGGAGCTCAGTACATGATTAAATCTCCAGTTAAATCCCTACAAGCAACACGGAAGTCAGGAGTTCTGGCTGTAGCAATATATTATTCACTTCCCCAGTAATGAGCTTGGCCAATATTCAAATAGATAGCTTCTTGATGAAGCAAGATTGTTATGTCTGGTTTCCAGATGCTCCTGAGCCCTGTGACTTCTCACTTAGAACTCTGTCCCACTTTTCTTCCTCCCTTAGAGACTGGATATGTATGCTGAGATCACCTTTCACAAAAAACAAGACCTAGAATTAAGATCTATAATTCTTCTAATTAAGATCTTTTAATACCTAGAATAGATCTAGACCTTAGGCATTAGGCAGTGTAAACATTCTAGTGTCTTGTTTGCTGTGTGAAACAGGGAAAGCATATCTCTTTAACTGGTCAAGAAACAGCTGTATCTGCTCCATCCAAAGAGAGGTAAGTATTCCTAGAGCTAGGGAGAAGGACTCGTGCTAAATCCCTTTAGCAACTACTCTAAATCTAAGCTAAAACTACAGGTGAGCACAGACACATTTTCATGTAATTTCTGGGGTTTTTTTCTAGCCCTAGTAATTGTTTCATTGCTGGATCATAAAAATAAACTTCCTCTTTGTTTCTCTTTGGAGTGTATTTGTTGACCAAGGTGATTTTGGGTAGACCATCAGCAGAGTACAGCTTGAAGCTGATGCAATAAACCAATTACATACAGCCCAGCAAATCCTTATGAAATTCAACAGTCTCCACAGTACAGCAGCTCCACTAGTGAGTTGAATGGGTCATCTGGGAGCTGGCAATGCACAGGTTTGAAGAGATGGCTCCTATAACTAGACAAAAGATCCCTAACATGTTATCTGAGCAAATGGAGAGATAACCTGAACACTGATGTGTGCCCAATACCCGTATTTTTGCTTTTTAGAAGAAATAGCAAATGTGAGGAAACAGTTAAGAAAAAAAAAATACTTGATAGAAGTACATGTTTCCTTTGCAGTCCATGTAGTCCATTTGGTCTTGTAGACTTTTAGCTTGAGTTCCATGACAGATTTAGGCTTATTAATTGAATATGAATATTTGTTTGAATGAATTTTTTACTTTTACTCCTTTACTTTTGTCCTAGCAACAGTGTATTTTTGCAACAGACAGCTAGACATCTCTAGCTGTGACCTCCCGGCTAAGGACACTGAGATACACTGAAGAACAGATCACCATGGAAACAAAGAGCACAGCATGAACAATGGAGAAAAACTTCTTGCTGCTCCCATAGTTATATACCAAAGAGGTAGGAGAAAATAGTACTAACTTATGTTTCAGGTTTGTTAGTTTTTCCTAACTTTTTACGGTTCACTGAGATTTTTATGCCTCACTTTTGTTATGTCACTTTGCCTGCTAACCTGGCAGTAGAACATCATCACCTGAAATCTGAATAATTCATTCCAAGTAATTATTTTGGTCTGTCTTTCTGTCAATAAAAGAAAGTAGCTGCATAAGCAAAAAACTTCCCAACATAGCTCCAGTTATATCTATAAAAAGTTCTTTTGCTAATATAGGTCACTCAGTTTTGTAAACTAGCTTCATCTAAGTGACAAATTAATGTGAATGGTTGAAGGGACACAGCTTTATACTACTAGAAACCTTCTGTCCTCCCTCTCAATATATATTTGTAGGTGTGTGTTCCAGAATTGCTTCCCTCCTTATCTGTAGTGGGTGCAAGAGGCAGTCAGCTGAGCCAAATGAAATGCTGTTGCAGTCCTTACCTGGGGTCTGCATGTCGCTGCAAGTGCTGTTTGATGTACCAGAGGAAGTGATGTTGAGGCAGGAATAGAGGAGCACATAAAGCCAGGAGCTGCCAGCACTGTGAACACAAAACTGGACATCACTCTTGTTCTGTACTTCTTGCGTGTAGTCTTTCACAGAATACTACAGCCAAAATGATGGATGGTGACCAGTGCTTTTTGGAGTGACCCTGTTTGGATGTGTAGGTCAAGATGTTTCAGAGGGCAGTAATGGTCAGACAGACTGCTCTTCTGTATCTCAACCTGGATGCTGAGAAGAGTTCTATATGATTGGCTACTTTCTGAAAATTTTAGTGTGACCACAACCAAGTCAACAAATAAGACTTAAATTAATACTATGTAACTGAAAATCATAACCAAAAAAGCACTGGGAAATTTTATTCAAATTAGATCCATTATTATTCAACATGATTTTAATGTCTCATTTGAGCTGGGAATATTGTAATCATGTACGTACATTCATGCTGTAACTTATTAATTTTGTTTACCCAACAATTACAGTGCAAGATTCAGATTTCACATTTAATAGTAATATTCATGACTTGTATGCTGTTGATTATCTAATATGCAAAACAAAATTAATACCATGTGACAGCTACAGCAAGACCACACAAGCTATGAACTTTGATTCTGAATATGGTCTGAATAGACCATTTGCAAGTGGTAAACAGTTACATTTAAACTGAAATTTATTTTTCAAGTAGTTATATTCCTAGTGTTCTTCTTTGCAGATCAGTGCTAAGATTCTCTTTTCCCCAGCACACCTTTAGCACAAGCACTATTTTAGGAGAACCAGTCCAATAGCTACTAATTAAAAACATGGGATTAAGTGGAAAGCTTTTGCACAGTTGCACTAAATAAGAGGAACTGACCTGAATGACTGAGTGGTTTTGGGGTTGTCGGCAGCTGGTCTGTTTAACAAGCTGACAGTAAATTTCATTCTGCAGCTCGGTATGTGTCAAGCACACCTGCAGTGCTGTCTGGGCAAGTGACACATGGTAATCAATAGAGGATGCCTCCACAGGAACATTGATGAACAGCTGACAGGACTGTAAAAGGGTAGAAGTTAATGCCACAAATACAGCAACTTTTCTCTGGTACTTTCCAGGTCAGGTTCACCAGATGTATTTATTAACTTACAGACAGTTAATAAATAACCTTGAGAGGAGGGAAGAGAGCAAATACTTAATTCCTTTTCCTCCTTCCTTAGTTATGGCAACTAAAAAATTTACTCAACCTCCCCCGGCCTAAGGAACTTACAAGTCAGCAAGGGAACTGAGGGGAAAATATGCTTCCTGCTTTCCATGCCTGTGTTTTACCGTGTTCACACTGTTCAGTCTCATTCCTGATCTTATACTTGTAAAATGTCATCTCCAGCAGCTTCACCACTGGTTTTACTGACACGACTGAGTTTGCCAGTGAATTGTTTCTGTTTCTTTCAATCCAGCTACTTGAGAGGAAAGAGGTAGAAAAAGCTAATTTTTAAGCGTAAAGTCTGGGTAGAACTAATCCTAAACCTAGATTCTGCACAGGAAAAGTTAAACCTCCAAAGAATGAATGACACTTAAAATCCAACAGTTCTCTTGTAATTAAATGAACCAGCAGGTCAGTCTAAAGCAACCCATAATGACAGTAAATGCAACTTTGGTTGTACAACATGACCAAACAATGTTACTGCCCCAACAACAGAGCAAAATAACTGAAAACCATGCAATGTCCCTTTAAATACCTTAAAAAGTTTCAGGGCTTCAGTCTGTAGAGCCTCTGATGGCAGAGTAGTGAGGGATGTGTGCAACCCATCTTTACTGTAGCACAACATAGGATGCTTCCACAGAGGAGAATCTGAGGTAGCAGATGGGCAAAAACATGCAGTGTCAGAAACAGGAGAGAGAGAACAGTGTCCATGTTGACAAGGAGCCTTGCTGAGATGGCAAAGCACCCAAAGAAGCAGCACTGCAATAGGCCACACTAGCTTTGGTGACACTTCATCGATTTCAGCAAAGCCACCATGGATAAGGGGTCACCAACAGCATTAGTCACCATCAGAAAGAAGTATTGGCATCCTCGGTCCTGCTACATCAGAGCTTTTTATTAGCTGGATTCTAGTGAGAAGCTGCTCAGGTGTGTGTTCAAACCAGAAACACAAACCCTGCCACAGCAGCTGCCTGCAATGGGGGAATTTGTTAGTGCAAGTCACTATCCAACAGGAAGCAAGCTTCACATATGGGTCCAGAATATGTAAGAGTGCAAGAAGAGAGTTTTAAAGATGAATGCAAATGTTAATATATATTTGAGAACATGGTGCACAAACATAAATGCATAAGCAGGTATCAATAGGAGTAGCAGACAAGCGTGGATGTATATGTAAGAGTTTATATGTGCAAACAGAGAAACAGATGGGAAGGCAAGTGTGTTTGAGTGTATTTAGAGAAAAGAGCACTTGTTTGTATGGTCAAGATTTCCTGCAAAGGAAAATCAAGACCAACAAAGACAGGGAAAAATTAAAGCTCCAGTCCATTATTTGAATTTGAATTACTATTACAGACATTTCAGAGGCTCTGATAAATGACATGACAATGTGATGGACTTGTCTGAGAACAAGGGGAGAAGGACATCATACCATATGATGTACTACTGAGAATCCCCTTCCCTCACACCTTAGACAGGATTAAACTGGGAATTGAAATTATTCTTCCTTCTGCTTTGCTACCATGGAAGAGTTTGTGGTGCTTACTTACTAGGGTCTCCCTCTGCATCCAGTAGCTTTCCAATGAGCTGTTCGTATGATGTGCCCACCGCGGCATTACTGCTACCAGCTGCAACAGTCAGATGGTACAGCCAGGTGTTCTAGGCACAAGGATGAGAACAATATGGGTCAATTCAGACCTGTTTTCTACCAACAGGTTAAGCCTGTATGACCCATTTGCTCATTGTTACCAAAAGACTCTTGCTGTCCCGAAAAAAGGCTGCTTTTTATACCTTCTCCTGTTTGGTGCGGATAAGTAAATATGTGGGACTCTGGTCCTGTGGGTGAATCACCAGTGTACAGTGGGATGAGAGAAGTCCTCCACCAGTGGTTTCATAATCTTCATCAGAGTCACAGGAACGGTCTACTTCTTCCACCTTGGACTCACGCAGAGGCAGATGCCCTAAAGGACACTATGAGGAGCAGAAGCACATTAGATAAATGTAATTCATCTCCCAGTATGGACAGGGAACACTGGGAAAGAAAAGCCAAGTAAAATGAGACTAAGCAAATAAAAAGATTTTTTTTCCCCAAAAGATACTGCTTTCTTCCCATCACACTTGAGGGTCAGTTGCTTAGTATCTTGAACCACTGTTTTCTGACCCTGGTCAGACTTTCTGCTGGCTACTGGAAAAGAAATACTTTTAAAATTTCGTAAGTAGTTAGATTCAGACAAAAGAGAGGCTATCTGCTGTGCTAACTCTGGAGGTCAATCCCAAATATGAGTCACAGTATTTTTTGATATTCTGAAACTTGGGTTTGACATCACCAAGACAAAGTAATGGACCATTGGGCAAGGTGTCCAGAAATGGAAGCACATTACACTGATTGCTTCCCTCTTCCCAAATGTTGTTACTATCTGTTTTCATGATGATAATGCAGGATCTATCAGCAGCTGTATAAAAGTCTGCTCAAAGGCTACACAAGACGAAGTGGAGAACGTGAGGAACAAGGTACAGTGTCATCTGAGAAAGAGAAATCACTTGCCTTTTAAGTCTGCTGTCATTTAAGCTTAAAAAGATAAAATCAGGGAAAATATTGATTCTCTTAGTGGAACAGGTGCTGTTAGAAAAGAAGTACAACCAAGAAGGACCTGAGACACAGAAGCAGTAACAGTAAAGAAAACTTCATAAGAAATGGGAAAGGAGGGTCCAAGAATAAAAGGAGAAAAAGAAATTACCTTATCTTCATGATTTCGATAATAGTAGAAAGTTTTTCCAATCAGTGCACACCAGACCAGCTTAGAGTGACCATGCTTGACCTGTAAGGAGGACAAACACATAATGTTTTTAGTATCAGCAGTATTGCCAGAATGACTCTCTAGGACTTCAACTTTCAATTCAACTCTCCCTTAAAACTTTGCATATATCATTTGTTCTATGCTAAAATAAGCTCCTCTCAGAACATACAGGGCACCCCTTCCAAAAACGGGCAAGTACATCCCACCCAAGTGCATGGAAGATACGTGTTTGTGAGAATGGGTCTAAGATTTTGTGAAGCGTTTTACTCATTCATAAAAACTTATAATTTCTGTATACTGGAATACAATATTAAGGATAACCTTTTAAAGATTATGAAAACAAAGCAGTTCATCTCAGCAAGAAAAGACCAACCTATAGTCTAGACAGCTGTTTCCTATTGCAGATGAATAACCTTCAGATGTAGGTTATCCTTAGCCATTTTAGAACCTGACAAGAATTATATTAAAATATCCACAGTAGGTTGCAATGTCAAACTAATCTATGGAAATTATATAAAGACTAAGAATTTTCAGCCATTCTACTTTGTACCAATGAACCTACAATCTGTTATGACAGAACTAAATGCTAGCCTGAAACCATACAAGCCATTTTTTTGAAACTCTCCTATATCACCAAGTTAAAGATCAATTAGATGTGACATTCAGAATGCCATGGTTTTTTACCATTTTTTTTAAAAAAATATTTTTTTTGTTTGTCCCATCCCTTATCACTTATATTAATGTTTCACTCTGAAATACAGAAATCTACAGCCACTTTTCCTTCTTTCCCTACTCTTACGGAGAGTATCAAAATACTAATTTGTTGCTCACATTTGCTGTGCAAACCAAGAAGTTGGTACACTGTCAATTCTGAGCTAAACATGAAGTATTAAATATTATTTTACCTTGGTGAGCCAGCCTTTCACAGTAGGTTTAGCATCACTGTGAGGAACACCAGCAGGTCCGCTCACTTGTACTCTCAGGATACTCTGTAGGACATGAATCCATTCCTCCAGGATGTTGGGAGAGTCTGCTGTCAGGAAGTAGGTTCTCTTTTCTGTCACAAGCTGAAAGGAAAAGGAGTGAGAAAGTATGAAGCTGCACACCTAAAAATCTTTTCTTCAGTTGCTGAGTTTCTTTATCCCATACATATCCATTCAGGAGAGATTTTTTTGAGGGTAAGAAAAAAGGTGCTAATCCTCAAAGCCCAAGTGAAAAAAACAAAACTCAGATGAATCAATTTCCACAAGCTTTCTTGCTGTTTCTGTTGGATACTGTGGCTTTGTGTCTTCTCTCATCCTTTCTTGTTTCTCAGTGCTGCTGCTAGTTTTTCATTTTAAAGGTGATTACATAAATATGAGGTTTTGCTGCCTTCACTTTGTTTTGCATTTTGCCTTCACTACCCTGTGACTGAGAGGAAAGATGCTATAAATCTAATTGTATTAGGCCTTAGCAACTTCAGTTCCATAAGGGCAAAAGGTAGCTCAGAAGCTAGGCCATGTAACTTTCAAAGTACAAAAGAAACTTTAATGCTGCCTTTCTTATTAAGTTAATAATGATTTAAAAGTGAATCCAGTGATGGGCTGACTTCTAATATGTTAGAAGTCAAATTCTAAAAGGAATCAAACTATTCAGATGTTTCTTTAGATCCTCCTCCTCCTGCATGTAAAGTCAGGCTTGAGATCTTGTGAGAGAAGCCTCTCAGAAAGATACTAGGTACTAGCTGGTTTTAATTGCTCTAAGAATCATTTTCCCCCACAGATTTCAAGCTCTAACTCCTGCAAAAAAAGGAAAGTATTATGGTGTAAAACAGGACAAAAATACAAGTTTCTTTCTATTTCAAAAGGGTGTACTTGGGTTACAATTTAGTTCTTTCCTCATTATTAATCAGACTAACTGCCTGTTTTGTGCCAGGAAATAGAGACCAGATAAAATTAGCTCATATCAATTGAGACACACAGTACCATTAAGCCTGAATTAAGTGCTCCCTCACCCAGCTACTGACTGTATGGTTATGTATAGGATAAAAAAAAGCAACACCTACCTGGAATGTTTGGGACCCTTCACCCCTGAAAATTTGGCATGAAGAATTCAGCTCCAGCTGCCCTTGTGGTTTGTGGATAACATCACTCTGAGGAAAGAAAAGCAAATAATTTTTTCAATAGGAAACCTCAGATGGCTCTTAGATTATTTAAATACAGTATAATATGCACGTGCAGGTTGGAGTCTGTATTCGTGAGCTGGAATGGACAGCCCCAGGCTGCCAGGTGAAATATGAGACCGTGTGATCCCATTGCAAAAATCTCCTCAATAGTGGCAGACAATATAACAAGGGCAGTGATAATAAATGCTGTCTTATGGTGTTCAGATTGGACATTATGATTAATAAAACAAAAGCAAGCCCAAACAAACACCAACAAACCAAACCCTTTCTAAGTGGGAAGGCAGTACAACATACAATAGGTACCAAGATGGTGGCTGAATTTCTACCTTTGGAAATTTTCAAGATTCAAGTTTTCAAAGATTCAACTGGACACTTGTTAAGTGACAAGTCTACAAATACCTTTGTTCTTCATTTGATGCATACAGTGAATCTTTCTAATGTTTGTAATGCTTTTCAGAATAGTGACATGTCTAACCAATAATGTTTTTTCAGTATATTAAATTTCTGAGTGTCTAGAGGGGAGGAAATGTAGTCCAGTGACTTACCGGGGACTTGTAGTACATGATTTGTCTGTTTCTGAGAACAAACCATCGTCTTTTCCATGTCTTTACCTGGCTGCCCATTTTCAGCAAGTAGCCTGATTTCTCCATGGGTTCCTGGAGGACAAAGCAGAGGGGAAAGGAGGTCATCTTGCGCCTCTCAAAATACACATGAAAGTGTGTTTAAATTGAGCCCAGACATTTGCTTCATCTCCCATAATTTTCTATTTTGTTAGTAGCAGCCAACAAAGATCATTTCACTGGGGGATTACTCTATATACTGTAGTTACACTTTTCTCTCTTAAGGCCAAGGCTCTGTTTGCACCCCTTTGCAAGTGCAGCATAGCAGTTACAGTGCAAGACTTACAGTGCAGATTCCACCATCAGTGGAATAGGAAGATGTTCGCTGTAGCTTATGTTCTGGCTCTGAATAGTCACCATCCAAGGAGTAGGCATCAGGAGGGATGGCATAGTCACTCTCAGAGCTCAGTGAGGACACAGATACACCTGTTCAAAATAAAGTAAGGAATTAGAGTCGTGGCTAGACAAAGCATGCACTGAATATTGTACACTCCAAAAAAGTTTCTGCATTCACCATTAAGGCTTTTTTTTTATGTTCAAGAAGGACAAATCAGATCAGACTTTGGAAACTCACACCCCAATAACGTGACTTCTGAGGCCTCTTTTTATTTCCCTAGGAAGACAAGTAGTAAAAAGTGAGTTTTGGATACTGACAGTGAAATAAATCTATTGCTGAATAAAACCAGATTAAAATATATATTTTAAAAAAAATTAACAGACTTCTCATCTGAAGGAGAGACAGCTTGTTTTCATCTGGGGACATCCATTATAAAGTCTTAACCCCTTCTGATTTCAACTAAGGAAAAGGCTTCTTCACTAGCAATGGGGCTTTGCTTTCTGTGAATCTTTTACAGGTAAGAACACATTATCACATGGCAGTGCACAGGCAAATCTGCCAATGCATCACAACAGAAGTTAAGACTACATGAAATAAGACTCTATTTTAGAGATAACCAACAAAATTTGGTAACAAATCTCTCTTTGGTAACAAAAATTCTATTCAACAACCAGTTTAGCCCTCCCAGCAGGCAAGAAAAACAGTCCCAGTCAGGTCTCATAGTACCTGATGTTTCTCAAAGACATGTGAGATGTACTTACTGGTCAAAAAATTACCAATGACAAAGACAAAAAGAAATTATTAATGACAAAGACAAAAAAGCATTTTCTGCATTGTGTCAGTACTAGCTTCCTTCCATGGAGAAGTCACAGCAAAGGTCAGGATGATTGGATACATGATGAATTTGGGAGGGCAATCCTTCCCACAGTCTTAGTTTAGCCACTGCCTGAGTGGAAATCTATCAGCAGTAAATACCATCTACAAGAACAGGTTTCTACTGTTGATGTCTGCACACATTCTGGGAGAACTCTTTGTTAGCATCACTCTGGCTGAGCATTTGCCTGTCACTCATGATGGTGTTCAAGCCATCTTTGCTCTGATGACAAAGTTCATCCTGCTCAGCAGCAATACTCCCACTTTACCTCTCTTCACAGCACGAGGGCTGCCTGGCATGCTAGCTTTCCTGTTCTCGGATCCAGCAGTTGAAGTCCTGAAGCTGGCATGGGACCCACAGTCATCATCAGAGCCTGAAGACTCATCTAAGAAAGGCACATTGCTGATCTGTGTGGCTTTCTGGAAAACAGACCTGTATGGTTAGTGTGTGAGAGAAGAGTTTCACCAGGATAATAATTCCCCAGGATAACCCCCCACCTCAATCAGGAGACAGAGCAACCCATACCCCTTCATTTCCACACTGCCTTGGCCACTTCTGCCCCAGGGTTCCTCAGTTCCTCCCTCTCTAATCTGAGAACTTCCAAGCTGGACTCTCTAATCTGACCTGTTTGGGTCTCCTCTGGTTACACCCTCCTACTCTTCCATGACCCTTATGTTTCATTTCATTCCTTAGGCTACACCCACTGTCACCTCTAGGTTCCATAATGCACACTGCAACTTCCTGGACCAAAACTTGTGGCAATGTTCTGTGTTCTTAAATAATTTTAACATTTGCTACTCTTTCTGCATTCTTTTGATGTCCAATACTTCCTGACATTCTCTAATTTTGTTTCCTTCACTTCACAGTTCCATCCTGTTTTGTCTCAAATTACTAGCAGCCCTGGACCATGCTTTCCACAACAGGAAAAGTGAGGTAACTCCTTACCCCCTTCAGCGTAGTGTAGACTGGCACTGTGACATTTCTGTAGATGAGATAGGTAAATGGCCCAGAAGCTGAACACGAGAAATTGGAAACTGGGGAAATTCAGAGAAAGCAAGAGAGCAAATAATACAAACTGGTGAAAAGGAGGAGGTTTTAATGGAGAAGCACATGGAGAACTGCCATCCTGGACAGCCTGGCTTCAGAAAGGTCAGGAGATGTGTTATTAATTCCATACAATTCCCAGAGACAGTTGCAATGTTCCCTTCATTCAGCCTGTATGACGCATTACCCACCCTCCGCTCCCCATCGTACAATGGCAATCTGGTGTACCAGGTACAAACAGAAAAAAGCCCTAACAGGCAAACGTGATGGTGAATCAGAAGACTGAAAACAGGCCAAAGACATGCAGAGGCAGAAGACTGGCCGCAAAACTGATGGAGGAGATAATGGAATCCCTGAAGATGTCCCTGGATGTAGAGGCACAAACAGCCCAGCACCAACCATCCCCAGAATTAGATACATCCTCCTCCCTTCCTTTAGAGAGGCTACCTATGAGGTCAAATTTACTTTGAAAATGGGCAAGGAAATGAAGAAATGTGAACAGCCAGGAGCTCAGGTCCCACACTGTCACCATGAACCCCCTCTAAGGATGGATCTAGTCTACAACTTACAGCAGCTGGAAGTCTCATTCACCATGGCCATTTCAGACACCCTCATGCCAGACTCGGCCACAGCATAGATTCGGCTCTCCTGGAACAAAAACACCACAAACAACAATGATCAGGCAAAAATGAAATTCTTACAGACAGAAATGCCCATGTCACAGAATCACACCACAGTCACACCTTGGGGCAGGAAGGAGGGGCTCTCTAAGAAAGATAACTGAATTCTATCTACTCCGTATGTTGTTTGAATGACCACTAATGGAAGTGTGTTACTGTGTGCAAATTCCCAACTACAGAGGTGACATCCACACACTGGAACACCTACACACAATTATCTATAAATTACTATATCACAGCGTGGAAAGAGATGGGTTTTTTTCTAAATTATAAACAATGCATTAAAATTAATTAAGAACAGCCCTATACCAGAACAATTCATTGAGTCACGAGCTGCACAGGATGCCCATTCTGTAATAAGAGAATGAAAGAAATGCCTGGAATGATCTCAATAAGTCTGTGTCTCAGTTACAACAACATACAGAGCTTTCAGTTCAAACGATCTCCAAGCACTTCATGAATTGCTAAAAATTCCAGAGCAGGAACCCAACTCTGTATCTAGATGCAGAGTTATGACTAAAACATCAACCAGTGTGAAATGGATAAACCTCAAATCTAGGAAATCTCTTGGTGCTCCTTAAAGCACACAACCAAAATTCACTATGAAATAATACACATAATACATATACATGAAAATACTTAAGATTGTAAAGTCAAGTACACCAAAAAATTTTGTAAGACATAAGAATTAACAATGAGTACTTGACTTCGTAGTTTCAATAAATCATTTGTTTGCCCATGCCTTTAAAAAAGCAAATTAGAGTCATCTTTTTTGATACTACATTGATTTTCACTATGTTTGTCAGGTTGGCCTGTTTGAACCTAGTTGGTGGAGTCCCTTAGGAGTCAGTACTGATGGACAAGGAATTCAGCAAGACTGAACATTCTTCAAGAAGGATATCTTTAAGGTGCAGGAGCAGGTCATCTGAATATGTCGAAAGATGAGACAATGAGGAAGACCAGCCTGTCTGATCAGAGAGCTTTGGCTGAACTCATACTTTGTGACCTTTGGATGAAGGGGCAGGTGACTCAGGAGGGCTACAAACTCACCATAAAATTATGCAGTGAAAAAATTAGGAGGACTAAAGCCCAAGTAGACCTTCATATGGCTACTGCAGTAAAAGACAATAAAAGTCTTCTATAAACACATAAGAAAAAAGAAACAAATAGAATATTAAGAAGAAACAAATAGAGAATACATGAAACAAAAAGAGAATCTCCATCCTTTATTGTATATGAGTGGGAAACAGTGACAAAGAATGAGGAAGAAACAGAGGTAGTCAATGCCCTCTTTGCCTCAGTCTTTGATGGTAAAACCAGTTGTTCTCCAAGTAGCCAGCCCTCTGAGCTGGAGGACATGGATGTGGAGCAGAATGAAGCTCCCATAACACAAGGGGAATGCCCAGTGACCTGTTTTGCCACCTAGACACACACAGAGGTCTGTGGGGCCAGGTGGGATCCCCCTGGGGGTACTGAGGAGCTGTCAGAAGAGCTCACTGAGGCACTGCCCACCAGTTACCTGCAGCCCTGGTCACCCAGAGAGGTCCCAGCTGACAGGAACCTGGCAAACGTGGCACCATCTACAAGGGCCAGAGGAGGATCTGGGAACTACAGGCCTGAGATCCAGACCTTGGTGCTGGGGATGCTCATGGAGCAGACCATTCCGAGTGCCATCACACAACACATGCAGGACAACCAGGGGACCATGCCCACACAGCATGGGTTTGTGAAAGGCAAGTCCTGCTTGACCAACCTGATCTCTTTCTACGACAGGTGACCTGTTCAGTGAATGAGGAGAAGGCTCCTTTTTCCATCCTGAACAATTCTAGGACTAAAAAACAATATATCTATCTGACCTCACAAGTAACTGTAAGAAAAAACAACATGGCATGTATATTCACTTTACCAAAGATTGTCACAAAATTTTCCTAACAGCAGGAGCATACCATGAGATAGGAATGCTGAAATCTAATCCATGTATCTATTCTAGTATCCACAGCTTTTTCTCACTCTGGAGCTATCTGATCTGGTCCACTGCATTTATGATTAATTTTTCTATCTTAAACACAGACACCAGAACTAAGGATTAACTTTTGATGACCCATATAATGATATACCACAATGCAGTACATTTTCATTTTTATTCCTATGACTGTTTTTTTAATGGACTTTTTTTCCCCTTATAAAGAATTGTCATGAGGTGACTTTATCTTTAAGGTGGTTTTGGGAGCTAAGGAAGTTGAAGTTGCTGGGGACTGATGGGAGTCTTTTCTCCTGACCAATTATCAGTCATTACTGGGAATTGACAGCAGTTTTGACCATTGAAAAGTGGGATCAACTTGTGAACACTACCTTAAGATGTAAAGTCAGGGCACTTTGGGGCTCTTTGTTTCCTGGCTGTGAAAGGTAACAGAGCTCCAGCTGGCCTCTCGTTCCCTGTGCAGGCCATGTGGCCCAGGCAGGGGCTGGGCTGGGCCTGCCGTGGCTCCCGGCCGGGAGATGGGGCCTGCGGGGCTTGCCCCGGGCTCTGGCCAGGCCAGGCCGGTCCCTGGCTCGGCTGCAGTTTTTGCCGTGATGGAATTCACCAGAGACTGCCGAGTAAAGAAAGGAAAAAAAAGCTCTTGACCTGCGGCGTGCTGAGACAGTGACCACACTCTCCAGAGCAGCCATGAAGAATCTTCCATCGCAGACAGCTCCAGCTCCTTCTCTGGCAGAGATCACAAAACCATCTACAAAGCTTGGGCAAGATTTTAAACTTTTCATTACCCAGATGAGACTTGCAGATTAACCCTTTTATCCAGAGAGAGAAAAAGAGAGTGATCAACATGTAAAGAGACTTTATAAACTATTAGAGACAGTAAAGAAAAAGAAGCTTCAGAAAAGGTAGAGAATAAGAAAATGCTTTTATGAGCTGAAATACCTTTCTGTTGAAGCTATGGAAATGGACAATAAGGTCTTGAAAAAAAGTCCTTTAATTCATAACAGTATATAGGGATGAATAGAGTGTTCAAAGTAAATTTTGAGTAAAAAGTAGAGTAATTGCGATACAGTGAAGTGCTGGAACAGTGAAGCGAAGATTTGAAGCCTTGGGGGGCAATGAGAAAACTGTTTTCTAGTGAAGCTCACAGAGACAGATAAAGAAGACTTTTGCCTTTGAATAACTCATCCTTAAAATGACATCCCTAGACTTATGGCCCATAACACACCTCAGAGTGATGTGAAATGGGAGAAAATCTGATGACAGCACTTCTGGGCAGCTGACATCAGGGCAATAGAAAACTATAGCGGAAATAGTTTTCTTGTGAGACACTCCATAGATTAACAGAAAGAGACTTCTGTTTCTCTACAAAGACTGATGAAAAGACTGTAGCAGGAATTGGGACTGTTTTAACCACCAAAGTTCCAAAAGTTTTGTCTCTGTTGTCATGTGAACAAGGGAATGGTGGGTAGTAGGGGATAAAAAGGGTTTTCTGGAAGTTTATTCTGGTGTTCTTATTATTATAGTTTGTTAATAAACTTTCTTTATTCCTTTTAAGTTTTAAGCCTGTTTTGCTCTTGTTCTAATCCATATCTCACAGCAAGAAATAAGTAATTTTTTTAGTTACTGGTTTAAAACCACAACAAGAATTAAAACAAAAAACTGTCAACAAAACCAGCATGCCCCATGATCTCAAACTGACTTGGTGGCTCAGGAATGTAACCTGTGATGCCCACAGGTAACAATTCCTTGAGGCCAAGAGCTGTTGCAGCCTAACTATGGGGCACAAAGATTAGCAGCACTTCTCATAGCGTTTCCCTTGCATTTCTTACCCATGATGGGAATCGGTGCAGTGGTGGTGTGGGAGGTTTACATCCCAGGTCAAGTGTGCCAGCCTCAGAACTCACAGCTTCTCTTTGCTCTGCAGGTAAGTGGTACATTCCCTCACACGTTCCAGCTTCTCCCCTCAGCAGGCCACATACTGTCTCCATCTTCTCCATTACTCCATCATCATCAATGTCTGTCTCCTCCACATGCCCACAGCTGACTGGAGGGTCTGTTATGGGCTGAAAAGTGCTAGTCTCTAAGTGCATTACATGATGGAAAGAATTAGCCCCTGACTGTGGTTGGCTGTGATGTCTCTTGGCTAGTTGGATGCTGTCTCTTGGTGTATTGGGTGCTCGTATTTTTGGAAAGGTCATACTAGTCCCAAGGCTGCACTCCCTCCCTGGATAGAAGGAATGTGCTGTAATAGCTGACGTTGATACAACCAGAGGTGGCTCAGCAGTTTGGAGATGGCCCTCAAGCATGCTCATTATTTCTCCTGAGGAAGAGGAGTCCAGCCGGTGAGAATGGAATCTGGCACTCAAATCATCAGAGAAATGGGTGCCATCCAAACCCACTTGTTGCAAGGTGCTCACAGCACTACTTCCTTCCAAAGATGATTGGAAAGTCAAAGCCTCAAGAATTCTTGTGGTCTCAGCTGGGGGGTCCAGTGATATGGGACCAGAGCACCCTAAACCATGTTCAGGACTTATGGCTGGAAATACATTTTTCTCTGTGGAGAGATTCCAGCTTGATGGGTCAGACATGAGCTTCAGCATGCTCTGGGAAAGCAGAGGTTTATCCTTGCTGTTCTCAGTAAAGGTGTCATTGGCGAGGACTATGTTTGCTGAAGAGAGGACATGTTTGGAAGGTCCTGTCTGACACACCTCTCTGAAACCAGGTGCAAGGAACACAGATTTCTGGTCTATCTCCTCAGCAAAAGAGGCCTGCGATGCTCGGGGCTGCAGGGAATCACAGCTCCAAAGAGATTCAAAGGGAGGAATGCTGGTCATATCTACAAGGAAGGAGAATATATGGTTAAGTCATTCAAACACTTCAATGTCTTCAGTGTTGCTTCCTAGAGCAATTCAGGTGTATTTCAGTAACACCCTGGCCCATTTAGGACTATACAGAATGGAAAGGAGATAGCTGGGCAGTTATAACTAAAGTACTATACATTTATATTTGGGAATACCACAGAAGATATGAATAGGAAATGATTAATCACTGTTTCTGACAAAAGTGAAATTAAGGGGCTCCTGATGAAATTCAGCAGCACATTTGAAATTTACAGAAGGAAGATTTTTTTTCACAGACAAAAAAGAAAACAGAATGCTGCAGACAGGCCAGAAAAAGTAATGTATCAGTAGTATAGGAGCTCTGGCTTAGGAACTTCCTAAACTACTGAGAGCAGAAGATGGAAGTGCATATGGAAAGAAGGATGGCTTTACTTGCACTATTTTGTATGGTCCTTCCTAGAATGTGAACAGCCAGCCAGGAACTGGCCTAGGCAAGCTTACAGTCTAAGGCAATACTGGAGTTTTTATTCTTACCTATATAATTATGCCTCCTCTCTTAAAACACGAGAAGGAAGTGCACCTATCCACATGACACTTTGGCAAATACATCAAAGTGGCCAGATCACTGCTTAGCATGGCTTTTGGCTTTAGTGGACCTACAGTGATTTAACTCATCAGATAATCTGGTATGACTCCATCCATTCCCAGGAGCTTACAGCAAAGGTATGGAGACCTTCTTAAACATCACAGCAATTGGGGAATTTACTTACTTTTCAAGAATTTCCCTGGAGCTTTTTGTTATCCCTTTGTGCTATTTGACCCACACAGTTCTTTATGTCATAAAGGTTTATAATAGTTACTTACATGGTTTTGCTGTAAAATCTTTGATTTTTTTTTTTTAGTTCTTCAGTATTAGTTCTTTAGTATTTTGGGTTTTTTAGTTCTTTCCCTGCCCTTCCAGTTGCTATGTTAGAGGATGACATAAAAGATAGATCCTAGATTGCCTCCATTGACATTTGTCTACTTAGTACCTTAACTTCATAATTATTATACTTTCTTCCTTTCCATAATTATTAAAGATTATCTATCTCAGTTCTATAATTTCCACCAAATAGCAGCTTCAGAATATGAGAAAGTAGGGGTAAACTTAGAATGGCAGAGGATGTTTGATTTGCCTTGGCATTTATATTTATTTCAGCCTGACTGAAAAAGAACCAAATCATTAGATGCTTTGGAAATTGCAAAATATGAGCAAGCGTGACTCTGCAAAGCCATTGCTGAAAATGCTGCCTGAATATCAAACTCTATGGGTATTGCTTAACCACCCCTGGGATTTACAAGGAAATAGAAACAAACTGAAGACACAAAGTTACAGAGGGAAGAGCAAACAGCAGAATAAATTATTGTTGACAGTGGAGAGGGTGAAACCTGCTCTTGGAAACAGCTGAGAAAAAGACAATGATGAGAGCATGACCTTGGCACTTGATTCACAAGGAACTGAATGTTAGCAAAGCTAACACATAATAATGGCACACATAAATCCTGGCACATATTTTCCCCTGACCCTAAGGTAAATCATTAGTGTAGACTGAAAAGAAGCCATTCATTTTAAATATTACTGGTATTTTTGCAGCTTCCTAGATGTGACAGGAGATTAAGAAGAAGAAGCTGTTACTATTAGCATAGCAAGCAAGAAGAGATTTGTCTCTCTGCAGAGGCCTCTGACTTCAGCCTGGCATAGTGAGACTAGTGAGAGATAAGAGGAAAGGGCAGTGCTGTTTACTGCCCAGAGAGCTGGGATCCAGGGAACACTTAATACCAGATTATTAACGCAGCTTACCAGGCATTCTCTTTTTGTGAACAGTCAGAGCCAGAGGGGATGAGAAAAACCCAGTCATAAAGCATTTCACTAGAAATGTGGTGGGATTTAGATGGAATTTTGCCCTATTCCCTTGTTGTGGAGTAACAGGAATGCCAGAAAGACTTCTGCAGGAAAGAAATGTCCGCTGCCCGCATGCCCAGTGAAGTTCTGGAAACTAGCTCATCTTACTGTGACCAAATCAAGCTCATTAAAAATAAAAATTAATAAAATAAAATAAAATATAAAAAAAAAAAAATTGAGATAAAATTTCTTTTTCAAAGTATGTTACAACAAAAGGTGCTGCATTCAAGCCTGGACACCAGAGTTTTCCACCCAGCCACCAAAAAACTGCAAAAACCCAAAACACCATAAGGAGCTTTCTCCAACCCAACCTGATAGCACAGAGGAGCCCAGCTCCTAAAGGCAGACCAAAGAGCTGCTGCCTTGGCTCAGTTACTCAGCTCACATGCCAGCAGAGGTTCTGTGGGGATGAGAAGTAGTCACATGTGGAGGTACACTGAAATACATCAGGGACTTCTCTCCTGCAGCACTGAAGTGAATGCAGAGTTCTACTATGTATTTCAATGAATGCTTCTAACTCAGGAGCTCAGTGGCTTATTTTAATGGCAAATGCAGATTCTAAAAATAAAAAGAGGAGTCTGTACTCATCTGTTGGTGGGAAAACAATTAAGAGTGAAGGCAGGTAAGCATGTTATTCCCATCTTAAAATGGACCTGGCTAAGATGCAGAGCAACTCTATTGCCTGCTGTCACAAGTTTTAATTTCTGACAAAATTAACAATACAACCCAGGAATGCTCACTTGCACTCGTGTGGTGGTTATTAGACTACAGCACCAGCTGAACGCATTTACCTTGCAATGTATCCTGAAGAGTTTCAATTTGCTCCATCAGTCTCTGGTTACAGTTTTTCAGGTGGTAATTTTCTAGCTCAAGCTATGAAACAAGAATAATAAAAACTGAAAAATAATGCAAACTTGTGAGCTTGTGTGATCCACTACACAGAGCATGCATTCATCTTTATTACTTTCAAGTTTCTTAACAAGGAAAAGAAAGATGTGTTGAGTCTACCAGTCACCTTGAAATCCTTCTAATCACCAACATCACTAGACAACCCACTTAAAATATTTTGCTGTGCTTTCTTAAACACCCTCTGTATGAACTACTGGCACTTCTCAAACATATATTTAAATTTACTTCCCTGCTATGCCTTATCATTTACTCCTGTTGCAGAAATAATGCTCATGAAAGAGAGAACCAAAAGAAACATTACCCAGAAGCAGTGTTTTTTCCATCTCACCCTGTAGGTAGTAAAAGGATCCAGAGGACCAAAACAAAAGCAAACTAACATTAGGGTGCATTTACATTTCCAATTAGGGCATGAGAGATTCTTTGCAAAAATTTGCCTTATGCTTTTACTTGAAGAGTCTCGGCATCCATTTTTTAACACAGCAGTGGTACACCCAGACAGACTTCCCTCTTGAAGGAATCACCTGTGGTGCTGTCTCATGTCACCCAACACAGATGCCAAGTTCTCTAACTGGCGATGATTCTCTAGTGCATGCAATGCACCTGGAATCAGCACCTGGCACAAACCTCATTGACAGTAAAGACACAGTGTGAGTGTATGGTCCTGGACTCACAGCAGGTCACACCAAATCAAACCCTCTGCTTCCTCCCTTGTGCTGCACTAATCAGTAACCTAAATGCACCTTCAGTTATCTTACACAGGGAAGAGAAGCAGCACAGCAGCTTGGTGGATTATCTAGGCAACCTAATGACATTAAAAAATCACATCATAACATAATTGGTGCCCACAAAGACAGCTTCTCCCAACTCCAACAAACTCCCTTTGTTGTAAACTTGGAAATACATGTTTTTTAACTTGGAATAAAAGACCAGACAGCCCACTCCCAGATGAAAACTACTACTCCATCTTTAATACTGCATGCTGACCCACTGCTGTCTTTGTTTTTCTAGAGGTTAGGCCCAGATAGAGGCATAAATCCACAGGATGGATAGAACAGAGAGGTCAGAGATGAAAAATACTGGACAGTAGGAAAACAGCGCTAGTCAGAGATTGCAAGTTATAGAAGAGCAAAGGACACGTTTGTGTAACAGGTGATCTGTCAGAAAAGAACAGAAATTGCATCCAGAGCAAAGAAGGAGAGGTAAAAGAAAGCTAGGTGAAAGCCACTTGTGACTAGTCAATCTTCAGAAACTGCTTTGGGGCACTGGTGACTTCACAGTCATTTATAGTTTGCCCAATAACGTAAATGGCCCTTGGTAAGAGTGATAACCTCAGCCCTAAAACTGAGTATGCGCATGGCCACACAAGCAGAGTGACCCTGTGGCAGATGGCTGTCCTCAGATTCTTGTCCTACATAGGGACCCCCTGGCAGTGCAGACACTGTACCTACATGCCTTGAAACCTGGCAGAAAGCCAGAGACTTACCTCCCTGAGCTTAAATGTTACCCACTCTTTGATCTTGGCAGCTTTCTCTTGAACAATTTTGGCTTCCTCAGTCCTCAGCTGTTTCTGTGCCAAAAAAACAAAACCAACATTAGACGCATTAGGAGAGTACAACTAACTGTTCTCAGTGAGTTACTGCATCAGGAGTGACTGAAACACAGAAGCTCCCATTGCAGACATAAAATTAAGACTGCTACTTGGATACAATTGTTCAGCTGGCCTCTGGAAAAAATCAAGCTCTAAGTTGTCTTACACGGTCCCTAGAGTTAAATTCAGAGGATTGTTTCAAAAGTTTGTTGTGGAATAGCAAAATCCAGGTCAGGTAACAACTGGCCACCTACCACAGTTTGAGTAGAGTCTGCAAGTTTTTGTTTCAGATGGTTTTGCAACGTTGCTGTTTGCTGTTGAGCATCTGTACTGTTCTCCCAGCCTACACACATTATTGGCCAAAGGTTATAAGAATTTAGCAGTGCCTATAACTGATTCATAAAACATCAATCATTTCAACCAAAAGGGATTCAGTTGCTGTAAGCATGAGTCTAGAGCAGAATCTTTCAAGGTGCACAAGATACAAAAACCAACAACATATTTAATACAAACATGTAATATACTTATTGAGAAAGTAAATTTAAAAAAAAAAAAACAAAACTCCACAACCTGACCTTGAAAAGCACTAAGATCTGCTAGGAGGATTTCAGATGCTATAAGTGGTTGTATTTTTACATATTCATTGGAACAGGTTCTAGTCCACGCAAAGGTGTTATGGCAATACTGCTGATTTGCACAATGACCATTGTTCCCTCAAGTATCTGCTTGGGTAATATTACTACATAATTTTTGCAGCTGTGTTTTCTCAGCTGTGCTTTTAACTTTTCTGGAAATTTCCTTTGAAAGATGCTGAATTAACACTATGATCACCTGAAGCTTTCTGTTCTGTGTGGGTTCATCATAAGCAACATCAGAGAAAACTCTCCTATCTACATAGTGATTTAAACAACTGCAAGAAGAAATCAGTTCTGGGAACAACGGAGGGAAGGAGAGAGGAGGAAAATATGCTTCCTGGCACATCAGCCCTGGTTTCTCCAATTAAGAAGCAAAGATAATGCTTGCTGGTAGCAGCTGATGGTTTCCCCATTATATTGCTTTTTTGAAGCAAACAAATATCAGTAATTATAATTATATAAAATGTCAGTCCTTCCCCTCACTTTAAATTTTTCACAATGATAAATAGATCACACAAAATTCCTCACATTTTCACATCACTTTTAATCACCACATGCTATTTATCACTACAACTGCACATTTAAAGGCTCTTATTCAAGTATGCTTGCTGACTTTAAAATAGGCACTAGCAACATTATAGGCAGCTGTAACATTTGTAGTTGAGCATAAAAAAATAAAAGCAATCAAATCAGATGCTTCAAGAAGAAGATTTATTTAGTTTTTTTTTTTTTCCTTTTATGTGACTGTGTGTGTTCCTGATCATCACGTCTCAGACTTTGCAGGAGTTAGAATACTAGATATGCCTACAGGACTGAAATGATCTGGCACATATAGTAAATCTACCATCTCTGAATATCCATCGCATGGGAACTGGCTTTGAATCCCTAATGACCTGGACTTGTCTTGGAACAAGGTCCAAGAGGTAAAAGATTCAGATTATTACACTATATGGTGAAGTGCAATGCCAAGATTTTATTGAGGGTTCTGAAGTAGAATAGTGACATGATGACAGCATTGTCACCATGCTTAGTAAGCCATGCCTCTAAGCAGAACCAATTCACTCAGGCACAGCAGCCATAGATGCAGTTATTGTGCTGTAAGATCCAAAAGCAATTAGAGATTCTTTGTGTCCCACACTATTGCGTGGTCCAGACATGACCTCGGTGTTCTCTTAATGATGCTCTGAATTCCATGGCTCTTCCCATCCCAGTGAAAACAAATAGGGTACTTTACAGGGACCCTTGGTAACCTTCTATCCCTGCCACCATCTCATCCTATTCTGAAACTAGAGCAGTGACTCTGTATTTCTTGTCTGGAATGGCCAAGCTTTGGCTTTCATTTCTAGGAACTCATTTTGCCTCTTGTTGCTGGAACAAGATTTCTACTAACAGTTCTCCAAATAGGTGGCAATTAGTTCAATGTAACTCAAATGGCTGAGTAAATTTTTTTTTTTTTTTGTAAAATTCTACTTCTATTTAAGCTATTTACCAAGCAACACATACCTCATTCCTCATATTATAAAAACCACAGGGCAAGGCCTTCACTAGAACTGAAATACAAGCCCTGCTGTAGATGTAGCACCTTACTTCCACCAACTGAAAAAGGAAGAGACTAAGCACTATCCATACTAAGAAACAGCTGCTCTTTTATAATGACATCTGACAAGAGATGAACTATGCTAAAGGACTACTGAAGACTGGGAAAAGACCCTTCCCAAGCAGCAGCATGAACAGGGTCAGAGATGGGTTACACAACAGTTTTGCAAAGCAATCAATATACCAAAAAGCAAGAGAAACACTGTGACCAGACTGTAGCATTACAATGCAGGGTCTCAGCACTAGCATAAGGAAGCCCTTTAGGCACATTGACTGATCTCCAATAATGAAGAGACGTAGGCTGTTGAAGCTGAGTGGATGTTTTGTCTGAAAAGGAAAAAGAGGATCTTGTACTGGGCTGGGCATCATCTTACAGCTGATCTGGAGGCAACTGAGAGACCAACTTGTAATGAGACATAATCCATACCTTTGAAATATACATTACAGAATCCCTCTGACTCATGAAACCTACAGGTCTCCCTGCTGAAAATATCCCTACCTGTTTTGCTAGCTGTGTCTCTAATTTGTTGATCAGATCCTCTTTTCCTTGCACGGTGCACATCAGCTCCTGGTACTTCTTGTGCAGGGTGCTGTCACATTCACCAGTCTTCATGCTGGCTAGTTTTATCTTCTCTTCCATGACTCTGACCTGTAATGGTAATCAGAAGGAAACTGAATAAACCCAAAAAACAGCAAAACAAGCCTATGCAAATCAAGGAGCTTTTTGCATATTGGTAAGAGAATGAAAATAATATTTTTGAATATTTTTGGGTTTCTTATTTTTCAAGTCAGGAAAGGAAAAATAAAACATCAAAAACCACAACACCCTTCAGGTCACTCTTAGTTTATATCCACATTTGTGAAAGGAACATTGTCCATTCATTTGTAATGCTCAAGCAGCAACAGATGCAAACTGAACCATGGACAGATAAACGCATCATGAATTGTGAGATATTACAATCAAAGAGGCTATACAGGCACCATAGTCTCCATACACATATGGACATAGTACATTCCGCCTTTCTCCTCTGTAATATCATGGCCAGTTTTTTACCTCATTCCCTACCACAAACTCCTGGTCATTTGCTTCAGATTAAGATTTCTATAAGAAAATGTACTATGAAGGTCCTTCATCCTCCCATCCCTAGCTTAAGACAGTGTTTTGGCAACTCCTGTCTTTCTGCCAAGTCTTTTCTCCAGACCTGCTAAGGAGATACGATGCTAGATATTTCAAAAGATTTGCCTGTTTTTGAGCTCCTGCCAGTGCCAAGGCTTCTTCATCTCAGCAAGAGAAAGATCACTGAAGTGCTCCTTCACTACAGACAAAGTTTCAATCCACTAAAATCCAGTGGCTACTGAAGCATTTCAGGTTTTTAGCAATTTTTTAAAATCTCTCTGCTTTCTTCAAAACTTTTGTCTCTCAATAACGCCACTCCATTTTACCATTACTTCATTCTATTACAATGGATTATAAGACTTCATTTCTAAAGATGAATGAAATCCCTTCAATTTAACGCAAGTGTAGTAATTGCAGTATTTGATGATGGGAAGAATCTCTGGTTCAGACACATCTCAAAGAAGCCAAATCTGCAACGAAACCAACTCCAAATACCAAAAATTTAGCATGAATTTAGAACCAGAAAGATAGAGCACTTCAGAGAGTCTGTGCAAGAGGGTTAGTCACGCTCTGTTGAGCAGCCTACACTTCATACTTGCAGGAGCTGTGTTTTGTCCTCCTGTCTGCCTGTATTAGGCAGAGAAGCACACTGCCTCTTCCTCATACTGAATCAGAAAGGTAAGCACCCAACATCCGAGCCAGAAAACTAAGCCTGCTGAGTCGGATGTGCTTTCATTAGAGTTTAGGGTGATTATAGTAAAAAGAAATGGCCCCTCCTTCCTGTCTGATTCCCAAATGCTGACTCTGTACTAGAGGCTCAGCGAGGGGACTGCAAACATGTGATTTCCTTAATTGAGGTTGGCAGCTACAGGGAGTCCATTGAATTAACAAATCCAACCCCACAGACTCCTGGAGAGAAAGATAACAAGGGATTTTGCACTTTATGTGGAACCCTCTCATTTGTTGGCTGCCTCTCATTCATGATGAATGTACTCATTAGTGGAAGGGAATGGTCCTACTCTCATGCTGTCACTTCTTCAGGCTGCCAGGCAGCAATGTACCATTTCTCTAGGAACACTTACCTCTGGATGTGGATAAGGCTGCTGGAAAGGCAAACATTGAGGGTTGCTAGTCTTTAGGACCTGCCAACACATGGCTACAGAACTGCTGGTGGCAGGTGAGTGAAGGCAATCCTCATTTCTGCTACACCTTCCCAGCCAAGTTCCCCCCTTCTTGCCCATTCTTGGACCTGGATTTGACTTGTTCTCAATCTTGTCCCTTGCTGTCATTGCATCTTATCATATTCTGGGCACTCTGCTCCTATGTCTGCTAGTATGAAATCTTCACTGGCCAGTGGCAATAACTGTATTCCCTGCTGGTGCTGTCACAGCTGTCACTTTTGCCTGTATTGTGTTATCTTTGCCTGTCTTGGTTGGGGGTGTGGTCTTACTGACACCACTCTCGAGAGCAACTCTTGTTCTTCACTGGTAGTTGCTGGTCTAGCATAGAAGCCAACAGCATGGTGTCAAGACATAGCACCTTTCCGAGAACTAAGATGGTCAGTAAAAAATCTTGATGTCAATATCAAACTGGTGTGGAAAAGTATGTTCTGCAGACAAGATACCTTTCCAGGTACTCCAAGTTCTTGATTCCCAGGTGATATGTCTCCCAGTGCTTATAACACTGCCCATTCAGTCCCTCACTTCTGAAATCATCTTTGACAGTCGTTCTTCGCTGTGTGGCTCTTATTTCTGCCCTTCAAGCCCTGACTTAGTGCTCAGTCCTACAGCTTTTGTCCAGTTGGAGGGAGCTGATTCACTTCAAGCCTTCCCTTCAGCAGTGATCTGCAGTGATCCAAGAGCTCAGACCACCTGGCCTGTCTTGGCTCTTTTGTTTCTATAATACTCCTTAGAGTGCAGAATGTCTGCTTCCCAAAGGTCTATTCTCTACAGGCTGTTCACATCTCTACAGCCTGTTGACAAGCTGAAGTCTGCCTCTCTCCCCTTCTCCACTATTCATGAAGCATAGAAGAACTAGTTTAGACAATATGTCTAATTTTTAGATGATTACACTAATAGATAATGAATCTAGCTCTTACTGTTTTTCTCCATGGGCTCCTGAGCCAGAGTAGTAATTACTAAAAAGTCCAAAACAAATTATAAGGGTGTGTCTGCAAAACCTTCTTTCACAGAACCTTCTCTACTTGTATACAAGTCCTCACCAGTACTCTTGAGTATTTGTTTCCTGAGGACCTGCCAAGTAGTCTTATCTTTGCAATTTAATCCTTCCTTTTCCACAACCAAGCATGCCTATCATGGATGAAGGGGTAAAGGCTGTGAAGCTGACAGGAAGGTGTAAGGTAGTTGTTTTCACTTAAGCATATTCAGGCACCTGTTCACAGCTAAGGCTCACAGACTGGGAAGTAGACCAGAAAATCCATTCACCACAGTAAATCAGCGTTTCCCTAGCAGGGCATAGCACTGCAGATTGCTTTCTATATGCTAGACTGGAGGGAATTTAGAGTGAGTTAACTACTGGACTTGTACCAGAGCCAGCATCAAAGAATCTCTTACCTGTTTCTCTGCATCCTCAGCTCTTTGCTCTGCTTCTATCACTCTCTGCTCCAATTCCTGCATCTTCAGAGACAAAAAAGAAAGAAGAGAGAGAAAGAAAGAAAATAAATTAGCATCACCTGGAAATCCATGTTTTACTCAGGACTTGTGCAAGCTTACAGATTTTTGGCATATTTTGAGTTAACTGGACAGCTTTGACCAGGAAAAAAAGGAGCCTTTGACCTTTTCTAGTCTTCTGCCTTACTTTGAATACACCAGAACCATTTTCTCATTAGTGAGCTTCATCATTCATTACATGGGTCAAAGGAATAGTGCCAAAGCCTTGACCTCATCTCTACAATTTACACACCATGGGCTGTCCCTGCAAGGAGCCTGTCTACAGCGCACCATTCTTCCCTGACCTTATTTCAGCTAGGATTCATTTGCAATGGTAAATAAAAATGAATGTATCTTGGAAAGCTCACAGCAGATTTTCTGGGATGCCACATTTCTACATGATTTCTACGATGCCACTGAATACTCTGCTTTGGCTTCAAAAGCATCATAGACTCATAACTGACATGACCGTCATAACAATGATCTTAATTTTCTTATGCTTCTTTTCATTTTAAAGAGCTTTGCAAACTGACAATTATTGACTCAACATATGAACATTGCTGCTGTCAAAATCAAAGGACACTGAATTGAATTTTATCCTAAGTGTTTATAAGTCACTTAATTATCATAAAATTCAGATGTACCTGGGGTTCTTCTAATAATTTATGACTAGGACCCTTTTTTTCGTGGGTGGTGGTTGGTTTGGGGGATTTTTTGGTGGTGTTTTTTAATTGTTTGTTTTTGTTGTAAATTTTCTTTAAATAGCAACCTAGTATCTCGTTTGATGTTTGCCAAGGTCATCTTCATGGCCTGCTTTGATGGGTCTCAGATTTAAGCCCAGTAATAAATGTCAGTGACATCAAGTTTTATCCACCAAGTTGCAAAATTTGAGTTATGCTTCATGGAGTTTTCAGCACTTAGTTACATTACGATGGAAAGAATGACACAGAAGAATCTTCAGAAGATTAAAAGAATCAGGCTTAAAGAAGAAAAACTATAAAGGGAACTGAGCTCCTTTTCTCCAATGCATTTTTGATAAAGCACTGGAGCCAAGTATTTAGTTGGTCACTAACAGGACCAAACCAATATATCTGAAAATGGGATTTATTCCTCTTAGGTTGATCACCCAGAATGGATGTGGCAGCATTCCCCTGTTCCCATTTGCCTTCCTTCATATGGCAACAAGACACTGATACAAGAGCAGACTGACCTCCACCAGCAAACCTATCGAAAGGCACATACATGTAGACACCTCAGTATCGTGTAACTAAAAAAGCAATGGCATAAATTAAAACCATGAAGATCGAAACCAGCTACGTTTAGCACGACACCTCTCACATTTGTGTTTTCAGTGGAACAATTAAATACAACAGTCTCTGTAACTTAATATCCAAGTCAAGGATGCTTCTTTGCCAGAGGAACAGAGAGATGCCACAGGGGACAGCAGCCATACAAAGCTGCTCTGAGCCAAGAGTCTTCTCAAAGACTGAGCTCGAGGCAACCTAATAGCAGTGGTCTGTTTTACATGAGTACGTGTCCCTTCAGAACAGTGATGTACTCATGCATTTATCTATTAAGTCTCTAGACAGTCACCACCACAAGCAGGTAGCAGCAAAACATATTGGCAAAAGAGAGATGTGAAACAACTATTGGGGAGACATAATATGCTTTGTGAAACAGTGTTTATGACAGCAGCTTCAGAATCAATGGTGTCTCCTAGTTTTCTGATAAACTGACAGGAAGTTTTTTTCCTCTTTATGAGAATGAAGAGATTCAGACTTACTGGAGAGTCCTGCATTTCAAGAAAGGTTTCCTGGAGCAGTTATGGGGGATGGTCTTGGAAAAATGTGAAGTCTGCACAGTTTGAAGCTCTGTGCCAACCTGTGATAAACATTGTCTTGAGATCCTCCCAATATGGTTTGCAGTAACAGGAAAATTATTTTTTTTCTTTAAATTCACATTCACAGCACAAATGAAATTCTGGGCCTTTTTACCATGCTATCCTCTTAAACTAATAATTCAATCCTCCACAAGATGAGCAATCTCCATGAAAGACTTATTTTAAGAAGACAGCACTATTCTGACTGAACAGTGTCAGTTTCTCCTTGTTGTCCCAGTAGCTGATTTGCATTGCTATTGGTTATGGATCTTGATCAAGACAGAGAATCTACATTAGGACCATTCCTGATCACAAAAAAGTTATGAAACTTGTACAAGCAGGGTGACCTGGCTAAGTTCCAGTCAAATCAATTACTTTTGTCACCCTAATTCCCTCTGTAGCCTTAAATGAACTTGTACTTTTCTTAATTTCCTGTGCTACATTGTTGGGTTGTCCTACTATGAACTGTTAAATAACTGCTGTGTTCCTCTTGTACATGACATCACTATTTCACTCATCCCCAGTGTCAGCACTCTCCCTGGGATACATTCAGATTTAATACATACATGCTTGTAAGGCTCCTTCAAATCCCTCAATGATTTAACAATAATGCTTGGTATTTACATGGATCCTTTTATTCAAAATGCTTTATAATTTGACAAATGCTTCTAAGCAATGTAACCCAGGTCACACAAAAAACTTAGTAACCAAGCCAAATGCATGGAACTCTTCTTTCAAACACTAGTCCAGACAGCTTGTATGGAAGAAACAGGAGTAGTTGAACAGCCATACTTCCAAGAGACAAAAGAGCCTTTTTCCAGATATTCACTGTTTATTGAAATAAGACAGAAGCAGGTTAAGTTACCCAGATGGCCCTTCTAAAAACTGGAAAAGATCCTCCCATCATCCATTCACACAGGCGTTCCTTCTCCTGATGACGCAGGATACATAAAATTGAGTGAAAAAAAAAGTTCCTACACCTCTCAGCTTCATTTTTCTCCTGCCATTCTGTTCCAGAGCTCACTCCTAACCAGGTCAACTTGCTGCCAAGGCAATGGTCTGCTATGCCATTCACCAACAGAGGAGTATCCCTTTTATTTGTGTGTGTACAAGAAAATCAGGGTGAAAATAATTGCCTGTTTCCAAAGCAATCCCTGCTAATATCCATAAGGTAGGATTCAGGTCTCTTGAGCCCTGTGGGGTCCAGCAGGATGGCAGGGCTTTGTCTGGGAGACCAGAGACTAAGGCTCTTCTGCCACACCAACCCCCAGCCAGGCTCTGTGCAGCTTGGGCAGCTCTGTTCAATAGCTGAGACCAGAATATCAGTGTGGAAGTTCACACCATGTGAACTAGGGCATTGGCAGTTAAACCACGGGGTTTTAAATTCCTCATGTTCTGAACAGCGATCTAGATTATTCAATCTAAGCGGATTTTAAAAATCTCAAGTATTTAAACTGTTAGAGCACATTGTACTACCAATGCCAGGCATGAATGATTGGGTTTTTTGCAAGTTAAAATAGTAAAATCTGTCTTGAAATCATAAAATTAGTTATAAAGAATAATTTAAGATGTGGGGGATCAGGTTTTCAAGCCCTTTAATCAGTCACCTCCATACCTAAGACAAGCTAGCTAGTGAGCAAGTATCACATCCCTATTAACATTGTTCTTCACTTTCAACATCTAAAAGCACTTACAAAAGGAATAATTTTCCTGTTACTGCAAACCATATTGGGAGGATCTCAAGACAATGTTTATCACAGGTTGGCACAGAGCTTCAAACTGTGCAGACTTCACATTTTTCCAAGATCATACCCATAACTGCCCCAAGAAACCTTCCTTGAAATGCAGGACTCTCCAGTAAGTCTGAATCTCTTTACTCTCATAATGAGGAAAAAAATTTAAAAATCACTGTTGCTATAAAATCTATGACAAAAAAATCCCTGAAGAAATCACTAGACATAAACCAAGCACCTCCTTCAGTTCTGCATCACTACCCACCTGAAGGTGAGAAGGATGCAGTGCGGACTGAAGCCCCTCTTGCTGTGACTGCTGGGGTGTCCTGCAGTACCCAAGGAGAAGGGAAGGGGCAAGTCTGTGAGGAAGTCATTACAGACCAGCTGGGAACCTGAGGCTCAGGACACTTCCCAAGAGGAGTGTTCAGCATAAGCACTGTGCGTCTGAGTCCACCTGCAGCAGGAGAGCCTGCCGGAGCTGCCCCACAGTCCCTGCTGAGGCTCTCCCCTTCCCACATGACATTTGGAGCTGGGAATTGCAAGCTTGTTAGCTCTTTGACCCTTCAAGTAAAGCTACAACAGCACTGTGCAAGTAGTTACAGAATAACCTGGTCACTGAACCAAGCTACTCCTTAATCTTAACAAAGGGAACATCAATTTGGCTAAAAAGCTGGACAAATGGTAACCAGGTCCCTGAAGCAGATGAAAATTTAATTCTCTGCCATGACCCACAAACTTCCCTAAAGAGATAGTCAAAATATATCTGGCAAGCTTATTCTCAAATAAGGAAGTCTGGTAGGTGGGCTTGTCTCGTGTGCGGGTAGTCAGGAAGTTTCGCAAAGTAGAAATTAATAAAGACAAGGACACAGATCTCATAAAGCAGCAAACTTATGAGTATTGCATATGAGTACTGACTGTCTTTACCAGACCTGTTCTACATCTATACATGATTTTTTTAATGTGCTTTTATCTAAATGGACTTTACAACCACTTTCAATATTTTTCAGGTAAGTAATCACTAAGATCCATCTCAGAAGCTAATTTAAAAATCTAATTTGAAGAGATGAAGTTGCTTAGAATTGCACAATTCCTTAACATATGAAGGGTGGAAAAAAATGTCTCATGCAGTATATATGGCAATAGTGAAAATATAATCACAGTGAGAGAAGGGATGAAAGTTACTCCACTCTCAAATAGCTGTCATCTGGATGTTTTTACATCCAAAAACCAACAAACAAGAATTAACAACACACAGAAGTTACAAAATAGAAAATGGAGCAAAAGTGAGTTTAGAACATATCTGTCATCAGGTATAGTAAACTGTCATCAGCTGTACAGATTTCAACTTCATTAGTAAAGCTGTTTTCACTTTCCTATAGTAGTTGTGTATCTGAGCAATCTTGGACTGAACTGTGATGATAATAATAATGTAAGCCACATTTTGAAAAAAAAGGAGCCCCACAGCAACCTACAAATTTGGACTATACAAATTTAGTGAAAAAACTTTAATTCTAATTGAAAAACAACACCATTTAAGGTTAAGTAAAACCACAAAACATTCACACCATGACAAAAACAAGCAAAAGAACCAAAACTGCAATAAAATCCTCCGACCTTTACCAGCTTTCTTCTCTAGCTTGCAAAAAAACTCAACCGAGGCCACTTGAAAGGGATTACTAGGTGTCTGTAAAACCACAGATGACACGTAAATTTCTAACATCCAGATCTCAAAATATCTGGCCTTGCTCCTCAGTATCACCAGAATGTTTTGACTGGATATGAAGTGTTATGCTAACACTATGGCAATACACGTATCCCTGTCTGGCTCTTAATATTATAGCATAATTTGCACTCCTCCAAGCTTTTCTGTTGCCAGCCAAGTCCTGATCCTGCTGTTCTTATCCAGAACATCCACCTTTGCTCTGCAGCTGTCTCAGTCACTTTAGATATCCAGAATCTTGCTGGTACAGGGTTTTCCACCAGAGTCCAAATACTTGGTGATTTTGCAGTAAACAAGGCTAATTCTTATTATGCCACTTTACGCCACCATGACAGGCACATCTCTGCATCTCAACTGACCAGCAGAGAGCAAAGATGTACTGTAATCAAGGAAGAAATCTTTACTGCAAATAACAGATATATTGGAGAGCTCAGCAGAGAGAGCTTTACAGATTTTTTGCTTTTGTGTCATAACTCATTGCAAAGTAGAAGTCACCTCTACCTCACCTTCTCAGCTAACAGCTCTCGGATCTTGCTTGCCTGCAAGCGGAATTTGAAGAGCTGTGACTCCAACACAAGGCATCGCTTTTGCCAGTCCATACAGCTGCCATTCTCCACTGTGAGTTCTGCCATTGTGAAGTTAATCATCCATTTAGGATATCGTCTGAGGTGCTCTAAAAATCCTACAGAATGAAAGTGGGGAAAAAAAGTATGTATTTTAGAAGGACAAACTTATCACCTCTGTGCCTAGTTTTCCTTGGTCCCTCTTACCGAACTGGTAATGAAGGCTATTTCTTCTCCAAGCAGAAGATGAAGTGGTGGTACCACTGAGTCACTGATATTGCCCTCTGCCAGAGGTCACTCTTAATGGATAAACATTTACCTTCAGAATGAGTAAATAATTCACTAATGCATTATACTGTATATTCCAGAAACAACCTTACTGCCACCCTTACAGTCTTGCTCAGCCTCTACCCAGAGATTAGGAGTATTCTTTACTCCTGCCTCCTTTGCACCAGTATGGCTGTAAACTCTCTAAGACACTAAACCTCCTGCCTCAGGTATCACACACACATTTTCAGCTTGGGTTACCAGTGCCTTATCTCATACAAACTGTGTTAAGATGACGTGATGTATTAAGCTACTGCTCCCAATCCCTAACTACTTGACACTGTCAGTTGACAATAGGAGTGGAAGTGCCCCAATATCTAAACACTTGCTCTGTTAAAACAAAGAGAATCCATACAGGAATAAGTTAGGGCTAAAGACAAAACATGCTGCTCTACTGAAGTCCTTGTAGACATCAAGAAATATATACAGCCCCAGAAATTGGAGAAAGCTGTAGTTTTTGAAGATCTTTTATTTTCCTACTCAGTGACTGTTTAGACATGTCAGATACTTTGTGCTTATAGTAAAAGACACAAAAAATCTAGGTAATAGATGTTCTTAACCAAATTCAGGTATTTGTGAACAAAAAGGTCAACTCAGTGTGTACAGTCCAGCAGCCAGCTGTACACAAAACAATAACAAATGTTTACAAAGCTAGAACAGCCATTAATTCAGCTTCATCAGAACAATTAAATGTTTACTTGTTAAAGGAACTTCTTACCAGCTTACAGGCAAACTCACAAGTCCCAAACAGTGAGAGACCAAGGAACAGTCCAGGATTTGTGAGTGTCCTGGACATCACCCCAGGACAGTGAGAAAGTAACAAAGTCACTCAGCCTCATTCCCCTTACCTCTGCCTTTCTCTGCAGAGAGGAAAAGTTTAAGATGTCCTTCCAGTTGTACCCATTTGTCAGGATATCTGGTTCATGTTTTGCATGTAAAACTTGAGATTCAAATTACTGTGAGTGTACATAATAGTGTGAGTACACATAACATGACTAGCCACCCTATCACATCAGCTTTATGTCTGATGCTCCTAGGTAAGGAAGACACGTTTTATATCCTTTGGTTATAAACATTACCTGTGAGTTATTTTATGTTCAGGTTGCTTTGTTCAGTAATAGAAAGTTACCCAGATAGCAAGTTGCCTATTTTTCCAATGACTTGTAAAATACTATTCCAGAAGGTAGGTTTAAATAAAACAAGACAAAGGTACACTCATGTGTAGTACTGCAGCACTGAAAACACTCCACAGTAGTAAAGAAGACCACTTTCCTACAAGCATTACATTAATAGAGGCCATCCTTTTTCACAGCCCACAAAGCACATTGCTCTTATCTCCAGCCTTAACTCCTTGCCAGGCATTTAACCAGGTTACCTTTGGTACACTTTTCAACACTGCAGTGTTTCCCTGTAAGGTAGTGCTATCAGTCCTTCCCAAGCCAAAAGAGCTCACTAAGTCATGGAAGGATCCTACAACACTCTTATGTTTGTTTACAGCTAACTCTTGTTTTGGACATAAATAAAAATTCAGTTCTCAAATGAAATTATGTTCTGTTTCATATAAGTGTAAGGAGCTTTTAGTCTTTATTCATGAAGTTTAAATCCAAAAAGGACATACAAATGAATGGGATAGACTCTAATGACATAAAGTGAAATGAAACTGAAGCACCAAACAACTTATGCCAAAGCAGAAGTAATTTTCCCACAGACCACAACTTCTGGTTGAACTAAAATACCCTTGTTCCGAATAGGGGGTCTAGGATGGAATAGGTGTCCTGAATCATTACATTTTATTCTTTATCACTATAGACAACTGCATTTTATAATCTCTTTCATAAATTAACACTACCCTTCCCTAGAACTATGCTAGTAGCTCTCCCACTATTCCTGTTATTCTAGAACGTCACATCTCTAATGAGCTGCCTTCCAAATACCAACATAAACATAATCATAACCAGCTTGTATCTGTTAATTCTTGCAGATTATTGCCCTTCAATTTAGCTAGTGGTTTTTTTTTCCTCCCTCATATTTACCCCTTGATATTTTTATAGATATCAAAAGCTTCTCCTTAAGGATGTCAATTTGCAAGGCTAGAGAAAAGGGGCTCCTCCAGTCTCTTAAGAAAAGCTCCCCACTCTCCTTCTGCACCTGTTCCAGCTTCAGGGCACATCATATAAAAGAGCTGGTTCTTTTCTCACTCCCCTTCATAGCCATGGGTGACCACAACTGCATCTGAAAAGCAGCATGCACCCACAACAAAGCCTTGTGTAAAGGCATTTAGCACCTTCCCCTCCCCTAGGGAATGCCTCATCTGATTGCATTTGCCTTTTTTACAACCATATTGCACTGGTGGTTGACATTCACAGACAAACTGACACAATTGGAATCTCAGCTGACCTATCCTTTGTAAATAGCAGATGTGGGAGAGCAGGAAGGTAATTACAAATGGTCTAGATTAACAGATTAATAAAGCTCAGGTCTGTGTCAGATCTCCAAATTCTCTCTACTACGGGCCACACAATAAGACAAGAGGCAACAGGCAGAAACTGATGCACAGAACTTTCATTTGAACATAAGGAAGAACTTTTTTATCATGCAGGTGACTGAGCACCGGAACAGGCTGCCCAGAGAGGTTGTGGAGTCTCCTCACTGGAGATATTCAAGAACCATCTGGATCCAGTCCTGTGCCATGTGCTTTTGGATGGCCCTGTTTGAATACAGACGATGGACCAGATGACCTACTGTGGTCCCTTCCAACCTGAATCATTATGTAAATACAAAATTTAACATGCCCATGGTTACCCTGTGATTGATTAGTATAACTATATGTTATATTTTTAATTATAGGCAGTTATTTTTATAGAACACTTATATTTAAAAGGCACAGTTTGTTTTTGGGTATCTGGAAGAAGTCTTACTGTTTATGCAATTGAATCTTTTCCTCCTCTACTAATTTTAAAGAGTGCTCTTCCAGGTTTTGTGCCCACTTTATCACTACTTCTAATGTGCGACTTTGTTTTGTGTCATTAGATTAATCCCCTGTGTCAGTAGTCATTCTACCAGTAAAATACCTACCATCCAACCACCCCCTCTTCAGCACTGTTGTCACATCCTCTTTTGTCATTTGTCTATCTTACCATTCTTCTATTAATCCCCATCTCCTCCACTTAAGCTAATAACTTTCCCATGTGTCATCATACCAAATGAGTTCTGAAGGCTAGAGATTAGAATTATAGCTTTTCCTCCTAGCAAAATCCTTATTTTTTTTCCAGAGAAAAGATATTGTATCACATCTAATATTTACCTCTAGAGTACAATTTTATCTAGAAAATTTATTCTGCATTTTCATTAAAATTCATTGTTCCTTCTCCCCTGCTCTTCTGAATGTATGCAGTTCATCTGTACTCTGTGAATTACAATATCAACTTCATTTTGACAGACTGACTTAAAATCACTTCCATTGGATCTGCCATTTCAGATGTCCTTTTTTTGTAAGTCTTAACCATCTTTTTTCGGCACATTATTTGGTTTCTCTTCCTCTCCCAGACACTGGTCCTTTTTGTATCAGATAAAGAATTTATATGGATACATTTATATAAAACTGTCTCTTTTTTCCCTTACACATATGAAGAAGGTGGGAGCCGGATATTTTCAGAGGCAGTACTCTTATTTTAGGGACTTAGGAGACAGCCACTCTATTCAAACAAGCTGAGATTTTCAAAACTTCATTCTTAAATGCATACAGCCACTTCTCAAAGAGCAGCTTGATTTTCAGTGTTAAGTATCCAACAACTGTCAGTGACAATAATGGCAGATAAAAAGTCCTTAAAACTCGGTAGGGGGAAAGTGACTCAACCACCTGCTAAATGCAGTCAAAATTAGAAGTCTCATGCATATATCTGTAAGTTTTGACCAATGTCAGTGGCAGTTCTGACCCTAAATGCCATATCCAAGATAAATATGATCATATTTACTTGGAATGTCCATATCTAGCTGTAATTCTGATGAAGTTGAAATTTAAATCACATGTCGTGTTTGGGGGTTTTTCTTTGTGTTTTTAGACTACAATGTTGTAGATGTAGTTGGAGAGCTAGAAATCAAAACACTTCAGAGAGTTTGTACACTTCCACCTGAAAAGCTGAAACAATCAATCAATGTGAAGACTTTCAGGTGCAGTAAAATGCAAGTAAAGTGTTTGCAGCTTTGTTCATGCAGTGCAAATAATAAAGACAAGCGAAGCACTATTTCCATATGAGAGTGTCTGCTCAACTCAGCAACAGATTTACGCAGACTGTTGTAGGGGATTCATAGCACAGAGGGACTGCAGTTCTTAGCACCTGCCCGTGAAAAGCACCAGACCCTGTCTGAAAACCAGAGCTGAATACCGGTCTAGTGATAAATGTAATATATGAAAGGGAAGAGATTCCTTCCCGTGTCACTGAATCGGCATCAAGGGGGTCAGCAGTACAGGCGATGGGCAAACCCAGCGGGGAAATCTTGTACTATTAATTAACACCCTGTCCCCAGCCACCTCACTTTCCACTTCATACTCGTCTCACCCCTCAGCTTTTTAGCACTGAGGCCACTGGAATTGTTCAGCCACGCAGTCATTTCCCGCTCAGGAGTGCGGCCTGAGATGTGCAGAGCATGGGCGGGGATGGGCGTGGAGGGAGAAAATAACACAAAAAGCTGTAGAAAGGGCAAGAAAAAGGCTTGTGGAGGGCCTGGAATGGGAGGAAGAAGGGAACAATTTCCCC